AAGAATTATTAGACATGAATAGCTGCTATGGATGACAATAATTCCGAGCTACGATGAAAATGCATATTACTTTTAGGGACTTTTTACGATTCATGGATCCTGTGGAACAATGGCTGGCACACTTGTGGATAGGTATATTACATGCAAACTGAAAATGAGGACGTTCTTTACCTCAAGATTTCATAAGGTCAAAACAACCGACTGTAGATATTTGATGTAGGAGAGTGATATTATGTCTAAAAAGTTTAGAAGATGTGGAATAATTTTCCTGATAAAGGTATCTCAAAGAATTATTTCATGCATATTAGAACAAAGATTCCTAATATTTAGCAATGTAGAATTTAAAATAAGAAGAACAATAACGTGGAAACAACAACAAAAAACCAAAAAAATCAAAAAAAGAAAAATGTGTCCATTTTTTATGGCTATAGATGCGAGCTAGTATTTTTGGATTTTTTATGTTTAAAAAAGGACATCTCTCATTATCTTGGGATTTCGGAAATAAAAAATTAAGAGGAAAGAGAAATAGAATTAAAGAAAGGAGTGAATGCGCTTATTGTTAGACATGAAACTTTTAGAAAATTGGCTGCCAAAACTTTTGCCGGCCTGATACATTAGTTGTAGCCAAAATACACGAAAATAGAAAATACTTGTTACCAAATGTAACCAATCATATATTACCAACTGGGGTCAATTCTTCATCTTGAATCTGGCTGTGCAGAATATTTAATTCTGCTGCACTAACATTTTCGATCAATTACAAACCTACGCACAACGTTCAGTATTTGTTTCTTGCGTTAAATATTTTTTGTTGCAAATCTGGAAACTTAATTCGTCGGTAGTTTCCAAAGCTTAAGTGCGTGCGTTGATTGAAAAATAAACACTCCACTTCACTCAAGAGTTCGTGTTATGGTATGATGATGCTGCTTTTTTCAAACATCGTCGTTCAGACGAAAGAACGTATCTCCATTCCAAGGCTGCAGAATTTAATTATACAAATCTTTTTTTCACACAGAAATGACAACGCAATCTCTGTTTAAAATTTCGCCGCTTTCTGACGATGATTCATTGAAAAGTATGTGCAACTTTCGAAGAAAATCTTCAAAAATGTCCGAGTAAAAATGAATACTGTGGAAGGAAATTTGGCTACGTTGAAATGTAGTTACGTCCCTTCGACTGGCAACGACGAAATGGTAGCAGTTTGCACATGCATGTGATTGGTTGTGTCATTTTTTCTTGTTTGTTGCTTCTTTATCTGCGTTATCTGACAACTCCAATCAAAAATATGCCTTACCCATTAAGTCAAGGGATACTCAAGTTTCAAAGGATTACACGAGAATACTTACTGGCTTCAACGTGAGCTCTGGATAAAATTCCATGCAACTCACTTCAATCCTTTTCTCTGACCTCATTTTTTGACGAATTACAGTTTTACAAAAATGGATTATGATAAACATGACGAGATGGGTAGCTCTTAAGATTAAAATGAAGCATCTTAATTAATTTTTTTTTCCTTAAGGTGGATTTGCATGACATACAAAAAAATTGAGTGGTCACTTAATTTTTTTTGTAAACTCTAAAATTTCAAAATTTGTCCAAAAAAATCCCTGAACATTACATTCCGTTTTATTGCGTCAGTTTCAATACATACGATAGATTGAGAAATACTTTGAATATCATAGTGAGGTCGACTACTTATCCAAAATGACACTTTTTTTCTCTTAATTTACTGTTCCCACTTTGACCACATAAGTATAAGATATCGATTGATGGTAAATCTCCCAAACCATGTGTTTCGTTCAAGGTGTTTTGACTCTTGTCAAAATACCAATTCTTAGACGTGAGCCTTTCAGAGCGTTTGAGAGACCTCTAGATATGTTTGACTCATTGATTTGAACGCATAATAGCATATTTTGAACTTAACCTTAATTTTTCTCAAATTCAAGAAATAGGAGACACCTCGACGCGCGGTGATGACATTGCAGGGATACAACTATTTGTACAAGTGAGATGCCACTCAGATTTGGGAGAAAAGCTAATTAAAGAGACTGGATTTCGTATTTCCTATCTTTAGCTGTGTTTTCGCGTTGCTCAGGTAGCCCTTGAATCACCTGTGTCAAAGAGCTAAACGATATCAACACAACATGGAAATAGAGCAAGGGAATGATCGCGCGTTGATGACGGCGCAGGGATACGACTATTCGTGCTTGATGGATGTCCGTGTTGCATCTGCGAAATTGAAGGCGCGAGGGTGCGAGGCGTGAACTCTCAATGCTCCCCTCTATGCTGCAAATGAAATGTCGTTCAGGTTCGGGAGAAAAGTTAAAAAAAAGAGGCCTGAATACGTCTCTCCAATCTTCAGTCAACACCCGACTTTTTTTCTTTTCTCCCCATTGATCTTTTATTCTTTTTCTAGGATGTATTTGTAGACCTTTATCTAATGCTCGTATGCACTCGCACTTCAACTCTCTCAGTAGAGATAGTTGGGTCACTTTGACTCGGTTAGGGAATTTTAAGGGTAGTTTTTGGAAAAATCCTTGCGATCCTCGATTTTTATGATTCTTTATTTACGATGCATTTGTAGACTTATATCTAAAGTTTATATGTACTAACCTCTTACAACTTTCGGCGGGGCACGTTTTTCCGCCGTACAAATTCTTATTTATTACACTCAAACTTATCATTTTGTATGGTATTGTCTCGTTTTGTATTCTATCGCATCATGGCTATTTGTATTCTATCGATTTACATGTCGATGGTTAAAATTTAATACTATATATCTTGGTTTGCGACGCGACAGATTTGCTTTTAGTTATTAAAGACGTCTTATCATGGTTTTCGCACACAATTTCATGAGATTTGTCTTTGTTTTTCAAGAGTATTCCTCACAAATTTTGTGCGGAAGCAAAATAACAAGAACGGACATTTTTAAAAAACCGACTCCAAAATATGTGTGTAAGTGATTTCCTTGCAAACCTGAAGTATTCAAGGCAACGCAAATGACATGTAAAGAAATCAGCGCAAGCCAGGAATAACTTAGCGAAGCCCGCTCTATCAATGTGAGTATCGATTGTAGTCTACATATTGTTTTGAAGGCGTTCCAAGTGTCCGTGGTGGCTCAGAGATAGGTTGTAATTTCTGAACGTTACAAATGCAATATCGTTTGGTCGAAACTTTTGTTCATTTCAACATTAACATTCAGAGATATTGGTGTGACCGTTAAAAGAGGATGCAAGAGAGTTTATTTTGTAACAAAGAACTAAGCACCTAAAAGATTTCGGTTCAAGAGGCACGGACAGGAACAATGGAAAAACTAACCCACACACACAAGAAGCTCGGGTTAGTTTTTTAATACACGATAGGTGAGTAAAGTTTTGAGCTGTAGATCAGTGGATGCGTGGAAGAACTTGTTTTATTTTTTTAATCTATATCCCTGTAAGGAAAATTAGCTGAATATTGCATTAAATAATAAATATGAATAATATAAACCCAGCTAATTTTACTGCCACGGGCTATGGAAGTTGACGATGATATCAATTTTGTCTGAAATTGCATTTATCTCTTTATCCTATAAACTGTATGTTTATAAATATTATTCATTCCACGATTTAAAGAAGCATTTTTGTAATTTGCATTTTTCAAAAATTATATTAAAATTCCATGAAGAAGTTCATCAAAGCCCCTTCAATCACTGGCATATTTGTCACCACAGAGAACTGCGTTTAAAGACACAGTGGTGGCTGAATAGGTGCTCCCGAAAAAAATTACATGATGAAAGAGTGTTAGCTGGTTTTCATCCACATGGAGAGACTGCCTCGCAATTTCACTTGTGAATTCAATCCAATGCATATTTTTGATATTTTAATACAAAATAAAACAATGAGTACCGAAGTCCTCCCTTCGCGTGGAAGATCTCACACAACAACATTCCCAAAACATTCTTCGGATCCCCAAGAACAATTCTTGCTTTCTACCCCATATAAGAATATAGTATTTAGAGTGTTAGTAATTTTGCTGAAGTGCGTTGATCTGGGCATGAAACTGATGCTTTTTATTATGAAGAAAAAATAAAATGCTCTTCGAAATCATATTTTCTCTCAAGTTATTTTGATAGGTGCAATACTAGTTACAACCAACCAGGAAGGCAACTGCAGACGGGCAGACGCGTTTCGGGTCTAATTGAACCTATAATCAGTGCAACCCAGGGCCCAGCCTCCTAATTTTTCTGCTTCTTAGCTCGGACTGATTTATACAATCTCTCCGGGCGTGGAAGCAGAGATTTCAGGAGGCTGCGTCGCACTGATCATAAATTCAATCTGACTCGAAACGCGCCTGCGGTTGCCTCCCTGATTTGTTGTAACTAGCGTTGTACCAAACAGCATATAACCCTTCAGAAAATGTATGCTCTAATGAGCTCTAATGAGCTGCTTTTGAAACTTCCCGCGCGGTTTGTTTATCATTTGTTGTTTTTTTGCAGCCTTTTCCCAAATTAAGTTGTTCTTTTATTATGTGGATTTTGGCTAATTAAGTTGTTTTTCATTCTAATGAGCTCTTTCTCTCTATAATGAGAATAGCAGTTACATACATAACACTAGTACTCTGTTCAAAGGACACGTGCATCGCACCGCAATCAGTTGTTCATGTTTTATTCTAAATATTTCCATTAGAACTAATCTTCATGCTTTGTTGCACTCGGGTAAAAAGGGTAAGCGAAGGAGGCACACTCTTGGTCTCTTGTTATCTTTGAATGGATTAATTTCAAGTTGAATCCGCATGTAAAGGAAATATTCGGTCGCCCACATGCAGATCTACAATGTCGAGAGCCCAATCTGTCTCGGTGATGTCGAATAAAACACTTACCCGATAAGACCTGCCTCTGGCACAGATTTTTGACACATCGCCAACTTATCTGGGTAATATTTTTGAGAGTGTTTATTTATTTGCCCTAGGAACTACTTTACTACCACTTAAATCACCGACGCTTATCTATTGCAGCTATAAGTTTTCAAAAGTTAGGTCCTCAGAGACCAGTGTCCGTTTCGTAACCGGGCGGAATTCGTGCTTGCAATGAATGAGTCGATATTTCCAGGTCTCCAGGATTGAGGACGTTGCGCTGTATTCAAGATTGGCTTTCCAGTATTATTTCCCGATGTAAATAATTCTTATAATTGCATCTTTCTCTTCGTTTCTCGTATTGTGCGGCTTTTTTTCTTTTTTTAGGTACAAAATGTGTTTTTATAGAAAACAGGTTTTCAACTTTTTTTAAAGTCAATACCTATGGAAAAAATCTGAACGATGAAATTCCTTGTGTTCTTTCAAGAATAACGATATTTCTAAGCGAGATGCATGTGTCAATCATTCAAATCGAACCAAAATAGCAGTACCGGTGTATGAAGCAGGTATTCGGTGGAATTTTTGAAAAAATTGAGGTGTTAAATGAATACCATGTAACAAATGGATGCTAGAAATCCATTCTCAGTTTGCTAATACATGTTCAAAGTTTATTAACGAGGTCTTGCGCAAATTATCTACTATGAATATATATCTTCCTTTTTTTAATTTTCATTCTTTTTTACTTTTTCCTCGCCTATTAAAATTAAAAAATATATCATTAAAAAAATTGCATTCAGTAAACTGATCGTTTCAAAGAAAAAAGTATTATTTGGATCGAATTTAGCGAAAAGGAACCAGCGTGATTATAGTGTTGTGAAAATATTGCTTCTCAATAATTATCTAAAAATCCTCCCAGAATAGCAAATAGCTTTGGCTTCCCGCCAAAAAACCATTCATTTTAAAGGAAAATAATTGTGTAAATTTTAATACTGTACATATATTGAGTATTCATAAAAGAAAATGAGAAGTTGCACGATTTTGAAAACACTGTGATCGTGCTGGTTCCTCTTTGCTAAACGCGATCCATTTCATCTTTGAGGAATTTTTTCAAAAAAATTTCAGTATTTCATGGTACGCCTAACCCATGTTTTATTGGGATAATCATAACATTGAGCCTTTATATCAACGCCGGAAAATCTTGAAAGTGCAACCCTTATTAATTTTGATTTATTTTTGTTTTCAGTGTTCCTTAGAAATTGAAACAAGGTGAAAATCAGTTTTCTACATTCCTCATACAAGAAAGACGAGGTGAAGATTGAAAATTAAACCGTAGATTAATAAATGTGCACCACCATGGCTCACCCCTGCAAAGGTTACACCACTATTTTTCCTCTCCTGCTCTGCGCAGTCTGCATCTCGGCCTCTCAATATGAAAACATCAAAGTGGAGAATTTGATCCTTAGAATGGATGGTGATAAATTAAAGGCCGGCATGGTCGATCCTAGCTTCACGACTTTGGATTTCCAGGAACTGCCAGGTATTGTTGTATTTATGTATTTCCAGGGCGAATCTTTAGTCGCTGGTTCTGATTTGCTCTGATTTGTTGTAGATTTCAGCCATTATGAGTATTTTTTTCTTTTCCCCCCCTTTTTTTAGAAAACTAAAATGTCAATCTATAAACTTATTACTGAAAAATGTTTAGATGAAAAAACCGATTTTTTGCTATAAATATTTTTTTTTCAACCCCCGAGTGTCTCTAGTCGGAGCTCTGGCCCGCTTAAAATTTTTGGGGGAAATTTGCCATTCTTTTTCGGATTTCTGCTACGGTTTTGAACCTAAACTTTTGGATGATGGCAGCTACCAATAGTTTTTAACGCTAAATTTATTCGTGCTGATTGTTGAAAATGTGAATGGTAATGTTACATACCATTAAGATTTCGAGGGACCCGAGGAGGAAATTAAGCCTTTTGTTCTTAAAAATTGAGAGGCCCCTAAAATCTCCCTTTAGCTCGAAGTTAATATATTTTTGAGGGTTTGAGTGAATCAACGGCTATAGAATTTAAGGAGAGGAGTTCTCAAACTTCATGAGAAGTAATAAAAAATAATTAAGAATAAATCAGTAATTTTAACAAAAATTGAGGCAGGGGGCTGAAACTCCGACTGGAGCACTTTTCGAAAACGAAATGAGGGACAAAAGTCTTATTTTTGACCATGAAACGCCTGCACGTATCAATTGGTAAAGTTAAAACACAAGTATGTCCAATTGTGGCATTGCAAATATGTGATTAATCATTTAAGTAGGAAACCAAAACAACAGTACATGAAAAACGTTTCTGTAAATTTGTTTTAACTCATTTAAAAATATTTTCCAAAGCTTTTCAAGAGGATACTTTGGTTGCTTTTCATAAAAATAGGGATGGTTACAGATGTTTAAATCACGTAATAAAAACATGCAATTTTTAATGTAACCATCAATACATTCGTTCGAGTTTCCCAATTCGTGGCCTAAGGTCTAGGTATAGATGGCCTAGGGACAAGTGTGTGCAATGCGTTTTAAATGTAATATACGAAAAATTGAGGTAGGAGGGGTTCAGTCCTGGCTTGGACATTTTTAATTTATAATTGTGGCAGTACCCCAACAAAATAGGTTATTACCAAAAATGAATGCGCTACTACCAAAATGAATTTGAAACGCCCGTACCATTCAACAAATTGGGGTATAGTGCCACAGTTTTAGGGAATGACGCCTAACACTCGTATTCCGTGTGTCGTAATCTACGAATCTAATATTCAGTGAATTGATACCGAACATCACCATATTATAATGAGTGACTGAAGAAACCAAAGCTATCTAAATTTTATTTCTAAAGGCTTTCCTACTTATTGTCATCACCAGATTTTAATTACATGCGTTACAACATACAAAACAGAATGAATAACGAATTTTTCAACACTAAATAGTCATAGCTTGCCATGACCATTATCAAGCAGACCACTGTAAACCAAAATTTCACGATACGAAGTATTAATCGACGATTATGAACAACTGATTACATGATTACTTCAAATTTTACATATTATCATCTTGTTCTATCACTGGAGTGCAGCACCTACTTATGAGTGGGCTGCGCGCAATATCTACCTCCATTTGAATGTATGTAATAGGTACAGGAGGAGTATGGATTCGATCGACATGAATCGATCGAAAAATGAAAACGTAAATCAATTGACGTGAATCGATCGGTAATTAATTTAAAACAAAAAACGGTATCGATTAGATCGACATGAATCGATAGAAAAACCAAAACGTGAACCGATCAACGTGATTCAATCGACAAAATTCCACCTACTCACAGGTTTGTCGATCGATTCACGGGTTTGTCGATCGACTTACGGATTTGTCGATCAGATCACGTCGATTGGTTCACTTTTTGGTTTTTTGATCGATTCATGTCGATCGAATCGACACAGGTTTTTTAATTATTTGTCGATCGATTCACGTCAATCGATTCACGTTTTCATTTTTCGATGTCGATCAAATCGCTACCCTCCATTTGTACATTCCTTTTTATCCTCTTAATTCCAGAAGGCATGGAGGCCCCGATCGAGCTGGGTGTCCAGCTGAAGCACCACGGCATAGACCCGCGTAGCGTTCGCAAGCTTTCGGCGAACAAGCTCGTCTTCGGCCAGCACACCACTCTGGAGCTTCGGAACCTGGATGGCGAAGATCGGTGCGTGGAGGTGGCCTGGAGCGCGACGCAGTGGAACCACACCCTGGAGGACTGCTTCGAGCTGCGCCCGCACCACTGGTTCGGGGGCCCCGAGCAGACGGACCAGTTCTGGCCCATCCAGAGCATCGTTTACAAGGAGTACTCGTACGTCACCAAGGAGCTGGACAGCATGGCCATCGCTGAGCCCTACTGGTTGAACTCGGCCGGGTTCCTCATCTACGTCGACCCTTCTGTCCCGCTTTTCATCGACCAGAACAACCACCGGGCTCACTCTTTCTGTCTTATGGCCAGGCACGCGCCGCCATACTTGAGGTGAGTTCTCTTCAAAATCAGGTCATATTTTCAAAATGGCGGCCAATAGCAAGGGTTAAATGACCGACTGGACTTAATGTTACTTTTTCCTCATTCTAGACACACTCAAGTATATTCCTGCTAAATTTCATGTTAATAGGTACGTTAGAAAGGGATGTTAAAGTTTCTTAGCCAACGTGCGTAAAAGTTCAGCTAAAAGCTGAACTCCAACATCCCATCTCACGACCCGTGCGTTCACCGCAATCGGTCGGCGTTGACGTTAGAAAGCCTGAAAAATGAGATAATAATGGAAATCAGCGTATGAAGGCCATCTTGGAAAATGGCGGCCAAAATACGGGGAACCATGGGAGATCCAGCTTGGGTCCCCACGGATTTTCGTTCTAGGTACCCTTCATTACAATTTCACCAAGTTTCATGCTGGTAGCCTAATTTGAAATATTTTGGTGATTTATGGCCCTACGCGACCTCACTAATATAACATACTTGCGTATGGAATTCGGTCATTAAGGTTATACGGACCGCGTTAAGCAGAAAGGAATCTAGTCACATCAGCTAATGCCAAATTTAACCGTGCAATTTAATTTTTTACATGAATCCGGTTGTGCAAATTGTTCTGCTTTCAGTGAATTTTCTGCATCGTGCGAAACGAACTCCTGAAAATTTCCAAAGGATTCCGCACAAACGTTCTCTTATAAAAAGTCTAATGACCCGGTTAAATTTGGTAATAGCTAATGTGGCTTGGTGGCTGAACCTGGACTTCGGAAAGAACACTGTGAAAGCGCCGATTTTTTTTCCTGTACCTGCATTTGATCACAGTTTATCAGAAAGGAACCAACCCATATTTAATTAAAACTGAGGAAATAGGTTTGAAGTTTTATTCCTGCATGAAACTCAATGTAAATGTAATGTAGTTACAATTTAACTGCTCTTTCACGAGGTAATTTTTGTTCGATTTCGAGTTTTTGGCAGGAGAAAATATACGACCAGTGGAACTCAAAAAACATTTTTAACTCAATTTTTTCGAAAATAATGTTTGATTCCTCTCTGATAAACTCTGTCTATTTGGTTCTCGTGTTCCAGGAAAGGTGCCCCCGAACTGAAATACACGATGTGCAAATTTGCGGATCCTCGAGCGGCCCACGAGTTCGTCATCCAGAGATTTATCCCGAAGCCGTCCGACCACCCGGATGAACTGATGGTGCGTCATCCGATTTGGTCGACCTGGGCCAGCTTCAAGTACGCCATCGACGATAAAGTGGTGCTGAAATTCGCGCAGCGCATCAAAGACAGCGGTTTCACGTACAGTCAACTCGAGATCGATGACGTCTGGGAAACATGCTACGGCAGTCTCACCTTCAACAAGACTCAGTTCCCCAACATTCGGGGCTTCGTAAGTAATTTCAATTACCTACGAGTGCATCTACTTACTCGAATAAAAATAATAATTTGTGACCCTCTAGAATAAATATCTGTGCCAAAATCAAACTAGCAAAGCCATTCTATAAAAGCTCCAAATTTTTGAGTAAAATATATGTAGATTACATAACGGATTCATATAAAGCCATGCTGAGATGTTTCAACTAAAACCAATTACATACGTTTTATTCGATAAAAAATCGTTAAGTAAAATCGAAGCATCTGGGATCAAAAAGACACAAGAGCAAATATTGACCAAACTGAGTTAATGGCACTGATAAATAGTACTCCTTAGACCCCATTCAACAAATTGGGAAGAAATTGGCAAAAACTAAATTTTGAAGGTCCAAGGAAAAATATCCCAAAATATTGAGTATCTTTAACAAAATGGAATGTTATTTTACTAGAATTCTGTAATTTTCCTCCTTCCTCAATAATTGTGTCCTCTAGGAACATCTCAAGTTATAGCATGTGAGTGTGTATAATCCTATTGGGATTTGTATAACAGCGAAAGGAAGTTCAGATAAAAGAGACATGAATCCATTTTCCCCTTAAAAAAGTCCTCGTGATAATATTGACTTTAATTTTTATAATTTCCAGGTCCAATCACACTGGTCCTAAGCTGTAATATAAACTTTAGCTTAAGCAAATTTGTTTACGCCGAGAAAAAGTTACAGTTTTTACGGTCTCTGGAAAAAGTGACTGCCTTGATCATTCACGAATACATGTTTTGAATGAGTTTGGATAAAAGAGACATAATCAATTTTCCCCTTAATGAGGTCGTCGTAGTAAATTAATTCTTAAAATTTTCAGGTCTAATCACACTGGTCCTGAGGTGTAATTTGACCCTCAGCTCATGCAAATATAAATTGCGTTAAACAAAGTTAATTTTTACGTTTCCCTGGAAAAAGTGACTTTGCCTCTTTAGATCCTTTGCGCATCATTTTGTTTTTGAAAATTCACACTATAATTTGCTTTTGATTTTGTGGCTTTCGGCAGGTAGGGCAACTGAACAAGATGGGTTTCCGGACGACCCTATGGGTGCACCCGTTCATCAACCGAGACTGCCAAGGGACTCACAGCGAGGCGGCCAGCAAGGGATACTTGGTGAAGAACCACTTGGGGAGCACGGTGACGCCGTGGTGGAACGGGGGAGTTCAGGGCGCCGGCTACGTGGACTTCACGAACCCGGCCGCCGCTGAGTGGTACGAGAAACGGCTCAAAAACATGCTCGCAGAGACTGGCATCGACTCCTTGAAGTTTGATGGCGGGGAGAGCAGTTTCTCGCCGCAGATCCCCATCATGTCCAGTGGCCCGGAATTGGAGGCGCCAGAGACAATTGTCCGAGAGTAAGTCTTCGCCAACGGAAAACGTTTTAAGGAAGGTCCTCTTGGGCACCTGGAAAGGCCCAACTAGAGTCCCTTTATACTGAGAGTCAAGACAATTTGAATCCATTTCTGATTGGTTCCCGTATTTTAGGCCTTCACAGTGTCACAAACGGGAATAAAGATTACAGTTTCACCGATTGCAAAGATTATAATCTGGAATGGACCGGGGAATTACGGGTTCGGCAAGGAACAAACGGAATGAGGGAAGGAACGAAGAAAGGAATTCGAGAATGGGCCGATCAAAGATTACGAAAAACGTTCAATTTCTCTAATCTTTATCACCGTTTGTGATTCCATGAAGGGTGTTGTCTTGACTCTAGGCCCAACTGGCGTGCGATAAGTCACGTCAGTTAAATGGACGTATTTCTGCCAAACGGAACTATGTGCATTACTAGATGAGCCTTGTTATGCATATATTCTTATGGGTCTCAGGGCTTATACCTTAATGCACATAGTTCCGTTTGACAGAAATACGTCCAAATAGTGAATAATTTTGATGGAGTTTGACTCTTCAGCCCGAAAAATACGCTAGTCCTTGCGTATAGAGGTACTCCACAACATCCTCTCTCAATGGAACGATGGTGACCTTATTTTAAGGTTTCAAAATTGACTTAAATAATGAAAGTTTAAAGCGCCAGATACACCTGCTTGCTAAAGGCTCATCTATAGACGCGAAAAGTAGGATCCGATCCTAGAGTACCTATATGGGGAGAGTATGGACCCGTCAAAAATTTTGAGGTTAGGTGATGGAGCTCTTAGACCCCAAAAGGGTAGGCAATCTATGAATTCAAATTGTCCAGAGTGCTTTATAATCACAACTGTTGGGAACTGTCGTTGGTAAAGCACGTATTTGACTTGGTTTTTGCTTAAACCTACTCATTTTTGCGGAAGAATGCTTTCTTATGAATTTTACTGTCCAGTCTCGTTTGCTGCATTGCAACGATTGCTTGTTGCGTTGCATTTAAAGTGCTTTGATATTGGATTCTGAAGATTGACAGTGACATTTTTCGTTTTCAAAGGTTACCTACCCTTTTGGGTCCTAAGAGCTACATATTTCGAGTCGTCCATACTCTCCCTATGTAGGTACTCTATCCGATCCTTGAGCGAGTTACGTGCGGCGCTGCGAGCTGCAATCTGATTGGCCACGGAGATCGCCGAACACGGCCGAAGGCCCACTCACTGCCCAAGACGCGCGTCTAGCTCGTGGGCGTATCTGTTACTTTAGACGTGTGATTGCTAAGTACATATTTCCTGGCGGCAGGTACGCGAAGACGGCATCCCACTTCGGGAAGATGGTGGAGGCGCGAGTGGGAAAGCGGACACAGGACCTGGCGATCTACCTGCGGATGCTCGACCGGGAGTCGGTGTGGGGCTTCAAGAAGAACGGAATGGCGAGCATCATGACGACGACGTTCGTGCTCAACCTGAGCGGCTACCGCTTCGTCATGCCGGACATGGTCGGCGGCAACGGCTACAACGGAGACAACGTTTCCAAGGAGATGTTCATCCGATTCTTGCAGATCAACGTCTTCCTCCCGGTCATCCAGTTTTCCATCCCGCCCTGGGATTACGATACCGAGGTTTGTATGCTGAAACTGATATTTGCTGATTTGGGTCCTCGGGAGTGAGCTACACGGAGAAAATTAAATTGCTGATTTAACAATTCAATTCCTTGAAAAAGTGACCGCAGTGTTTCAACGTAGATTTCACCACAAAAATATGCTACTTTAACCACTATTTTAAGCTAATTTAACCACGGGGGTGGTTAAAGTAGCGTTTTTTTGTTGTGAAATCTACATTGAAACATCGCAGTCACTTTTTTAGCAATTGGATTGTTAAATAAGCACTTTAGTTTTTTCCGTGTGGTGCGTTTCGTCGCTCCTCTGACGTTTAAGAAGTATCTCGATGTCCACGTGCGCCCCGGTAAGCCTAGGAAGATACGAGAACAAGGATCATGTGGAAATTAAGTTACGCCCTTGTCATAGGAGCGACGATTTATGGAGGAAGTATAGACTTATAGACCGGTTTCAGGACCTTTTGTCAACGATTTTTTGTCCGCGCACCTTTTTTGTCCAGTAGTTTACGCCCACACGTAAAATAAGCAGCGGTGACTTGGTCCAAACGTTATATTTTAGTCGGTATGTGAAATTATATTGACAATATGGAAATGAAAAATTGAGAGAGAAGGAGGCGTTGTTATGGTTGCTCATTTTCTAAATGAAATGTTATAACTTTTTCCTTTTGAATCATCTTTTTAAATTGTCATTGGTGAATATTTGGTTTTATTTCTATCCTTAAAATATTCGATGTACAATATAGCTTATGTATGTATCGGTACTTTTTTTTATTTTTTTAATTTTTTCTTTACGAAATTATTACTTCATTTTGAAAACATTTATATTTTTAAAACGTGACAAATATTTGTAAAACCTTTTTCAAGTGACATTAATCTCAATAAGCCGCAGTTGTGCCGACAGAAACTGCAAAAATGAATAAAAGAGGGAAAAAAACCAAGAAGCACGCAATCTTTAGGTCTAACCCATTTTTACATCGATCTTTTAGGGTCAAATACGTCAAATTTTGAGCATTTGGCTGCGCGTACAGCGTACACCTCGCTGTAGCACAATAAAAGCACAAAATGTAAAAGAAAAAATTAAAGTGATTTGGAAATCATTAAATTTGACACGGAACCACCAATATTTAAAATACACACATTATATTATTATTATCCTTTGATAAATTGATACATATTTTTTCCCATCAATTTAAATGAGAATAATCAATGCAGAGTGTGCAAACATTTCAAAATCATGAGTTAAAAAACGCTGACTATGCGAGTATAAATATTATTATTAAAGCCTAAAAGAGCGGAGCGGTCGGCGTGCTGCCAGCGCGAGAGGCTCACTGGCGCCTACAAACCTTAGTGGATACTTCGCGCATTGCACAATGCTTGAAGTATCCACTTAGGTTTGTAGGCGCCAATGCGAGTTTTGCTCTGTCCGCTCGCCCGCCGTGAAGCAACTATTTCAAAACAGAGGTGTTGCACAGTATATATGAAATTGAACGTATGAAGAATGACAGGCATCCTTTAAAAGTACAGATCTTTCCTCGCAAAATAAAGCAAGATGCTTATCGTGCACTGGAAAAATCTAAGAGCCTTTAGCTGAGGCAAATATAGAGGTTTATCCGGTTCAGTTGGAACAAGGTGAGAAAATCTTGAAAGATAATTAAGTCCTGTTACACCAAAGAGGTGTAGAGAGTTTTAGTGAATTTTGTCTCAGGAAATTTACGCTCCCCCATGTTTACCAAAACTCTCAACTATGTATTATTCTCTGTTGGACCAAACAGACAAAACAAAAAAACAAGCAAACCCTCATTCTTTCAAGACATTTTACATTTTCATCCATAAACGTCGTGAGAAATTGTCGTTTGTATTTACATGTGGGCCAATTAACTTTGGGTCTCAACAGGCACGTGGACCAAAAACCCCGTGCCGAAAAAACGTGGGGGCGTAAATTACTGAAAAAAACAGGTGCGCGGATAAAAAATCGTTAACGACATCCTGTAACCTATCGACCATGAAACTCCCAAACCAAGCACACTGGGAAAAAAACACATTGGATCTACAGTCCAGACTCTTAAAAACATAGACAAGAAAAAGGACTCTTGATCCAGTCGGATTTTTGCTTAAATCAAGAACCAAGCCTCTTGATTTAAGCGGATTTCCTTCTGATTTAAGCTTAAATCTGATTGAATCAAGAGTATTTTTTCTTGTCAATGTTTTCAAGAGTCCGGACTCTAGATCCAATGTGTTTTTTTCCAGTGTACCTCATTTGCGGTACTTGAAAATCTCTGCTTATATTTTACTTCTTTAAAAGAAACCTAATAAATATCATCCCTTAAAGTTTTTGAGTTAGGTTGAATTTGCTCCGCATCGAGAGGGAAGAACACGGACTTTTTGAGAAATAACGTTGAGTGATTCACTATTGTGTGTGTGTGTTGAGTTGTTGACGTTGAGTAGTTTTCCATTATTAAAAATAAAGTTTGACTGAAAGTCTGCAACGTCGGAAACCGAGATACATGGTTTTAGAGTTTCACCCATATCGCATGTAAAAGTCTCAATATTCCGGCACACCAGGAAAATTGTGAGTTTTCAACTGACTACTATCAAAAACTTCAAAATACCGACATGTGCTCAGTGGTTGTATTCATGGTCCATCTTTAGACAGCTCATTCCGTCAAGGAGACCCCATATATAGTTTACGTTTTGATGATAGGAGGATAATGGATTCTTTAAACGCAGCATTACAAAAAGGATACTTTTTATGAAAATCTAGTAAAATACGGCAATTTAGTTTTGAAAATAGATCCTCACAAGAGGTTCAAATGATTTTTCATCGTGGAAAATAAGGAATACCAAGGGAAATATACAGATTACTAGTTTTGCAAATTGACGGAGGTTAGGTGAATAATTCATATTCTCGATACCGCATTCTTCACTGGCAATTTTGATTTGATTTTAGACCATTGAGCTGACCAAGAAGTTTGTAAAACTACACCAGGATTATGCAGACAAAATCATAGAACTGATGAAGGAAACGGTGAGAACAGGAAAACCGATCAACATGCCGATTTGGTGGGTAGATCCTACAAACAAAGAGGCTCATGGAATCAATTCAGGTTTGGCTCTTTTCTTCAATTATAAATTTAAATTAAAATTTAATCAATCTTTTTCAATGTACTCTGACGAAAAAAACCAAATATTTTAAAAAATGTCGATCCCTCCAATGAAGATTAGAGATATTACTAACTTTCAAATAGAAACAGTACAGTATGTGTTTCGATGTGCACTCGACCATCAAAAAAGGTAAAAATGTTGAGTTTAGTTGCGGCATTTTTGTTCTGGACGGCAGAATACAAAACGTTTGGATACAACTATTCGAGCTTCTAGGTTGTGCTCGTTGCATACGCGCCAAATTGAAGGCGTTTTGCTTTTTTTGCCCATAGAGCGGTTCCCACGATGCGTAGCGCCGTTACAAGCCAATGTTGAGATTTTCCTTTGCCCAGAGCTTTTAAAGAGAGCTTTTAAGAGCAGTACGTGCTGGAAAAAAGGTAAAAATGTAGAGTTTAGTTGCGGCATCTTTGTTCTAGACGGCAGAAAACGAAACGTTTGGATACAACTATTCGAGCTCCTGGGTTGTGCTCGTTGCATACGCTCCAAATTGAAGGCGTTTTGCTTTTTTTGCCCGTACAGCGGCTCCTACGGTGCGTAGCGCCGTTACGAGTCAATGTTGAGATTTTCCTTTGCCCAGAGCTTTTAAAGAGAGCTTTTAAGAGCAGTAAGTGCTGAACTCTCTTTTATAAGAGCATAGTAAGTGTTGGAAAAAGTGTAAAAATGTTGAGTTCAGTTGCGGCATTTTTGTTCTGGACGGCAGAACGAAACGTTTGGATACAACTATTCGAGCTCCTGGGTTGTGCTCGTTGCATACGCGCCAAATTGAAGGCGTTTTGCTTTTTTAGCCCGTAGAGCGGCTCCTACGGTGTGTAGCGCCGTTAGAAGTCAATGTTGAGATATTCTTATTATTATTATATCTTATTCTTATTATTATATCTCTATATTATTGGACAAAGGCCCAGAGCTTTTAAATATAAGTAATGCATCAGTTTAATTGCATATTTGTGTGTCTAGAATACCTATTGGGCGAGGAGATTTTGGTGGCGCCGGTAATCGAAGAAGGAGCGAGGAGTCGGGATATATACCTTCCGAGCGGTGAGTGGCGGGATGAGGTCAAAGCGGATAAGCCTGTCATCAAGGGTCCCGTCTGGCTCCGAGATTACCCTGCACCTCTCGACACTCTCCCCTATTTCACTCGGGTTACGTCGGGCGCTCAGCACATTTCGATAAGCATCATCCTGCTCGCCGTTCTGTCGCTCTTCTTGGTCGCTTTCCGATAGGATCGCGATAACCTATATACCGCGCTAAGGAAGAGCGCCGTATGAGCCTTCAAACGTTGCCAAGTTTCCTTCGATAAAAACCAATTTATTGGGAAAATTGTGAATATTTTTCTTCAAATTTTTCGGACAATTCAAAACCGAAATTATTGGGAAAATTGTGAATATTTTCTTCAACTTTTTCGGACAATTTTGCACGCAATTTAATCTTAGATATCTGAAAATTTCAAAGGAGAATATGCCTGAAAGTCGTCGAAAATACATGTTTTATCGAGGAAAATTTGGCAACTCTAGAACTTTCAAACGGCGTTCTTCCTTAGTACAGCAGTTTATACCGCGCTAAGGAAGAACGCCGTATGAGCCTTCAAACGTTGCCAAGTTTCCTTCGATAAAAACCGAATTTATTGGGAAAATTGTGAATATTTTTCTTTGAATTTTTCGGACAGTTTTGTACGCAATTTAATCTTAAATATCTGAAAATTTTAAAGGAATGCATGCCTGAAAGTCGTCTATGTTTTATCGAAGAAAATTTGGCAACTCTAGAACTTTCATACGACGTTCTTCCTTGCAACAGTTTATACCGCGCTAAGGAGGCATGTTATTTGAGTGTTTTTTGTTGTCGAATTACCCCATCTATTTCAAAGAAATGCTATGAAAAACTGCTGTTGATACCGAAAAGGAAAGTTGAATTAACATTCTGCGTGTAAAAAAGTGTGCGAGAACTCATAAAATGCTGAATTTCACGCTAAAGCACACCGAAAAAAATAATATGCTGTTTTAGCATCTAGGATGTCAAAAATGTGTCTGGTGATCCCAAGATGCTGCCTTTACTGCCCCCGCAGTTGAATTTGCATTCACAGGATGTAAAATTAACTGCGGGGGGAGTAAAGGCAGCATCTTGGGATCACCAGACACATTTTTGACATCCTAGATGCTAAAAGAGCATATTATTTTTTTCGGTGCAGTTACTTTAGCAATGCCAATATGTAATAATAACTGCTGTGGTGAGTAATTCAGCATTTTCTACGTTCTTGCACACTGTTTTTTTACATCCAGAATGTTAAATCCACTTCAATGTTTTTTCGGTGATACTTCCGGTAACATGAGATTGAATTAAGAGTAAAATTTTAAAAAAAAATCTCGAAGAAGAAAACGCAAGCCATTGCGAGAAAACTCGCATTCCATAAGATGAAGTTTGGCACCATTCGCACTTGCATCTGTTTCTCCCGAGTACGCTTGAACAGTCTTGCGGAACAAACCGCGACATCGCGGTTTTACTGTTATGAGCCGCATCGAAAAAAACATGAGGTTCACATGAGGTGTGAAAAAACACACAATGAAATACAAATACATTGGACGGAATTAGAGTATCTTGAGCTTTCTCATCGTAAATGGCAGTCAGAACTGATGGATGAAATTGGTCTGCTCTTCAGTTTGAAAGCTATTTTTTTAACAGGAATATTATATTCGTCACCGTCCACCAGTAAACATGATTCCAAATTTTATCTCACGCGTAAATCAATGAAATATACTAGGATATTCAGAGAATTACCGACAATTTTGAAAGGAGAGTAAATTAATAATGCCTTCTATTTGTGTCACTGATTTTTTATTCAAAAACTTATTTTACGCAACTTCATTACCTCAGAAGTATAACATGAACTAAAATCGTATCCAGTAGCGTGGCAACCTTTGCGATTTATCGTTTGACCTGTTATTTAAACCTATGGAAAAGGATCGATAGACAGGGGTTTCGCAACGAACACCTTAATAATCGATTCTTCACCATAGGTTCAAACGGGAAAATATCGATAATCGATCATTGACGCCTCGCCACTGATCGTATCATCTCTTCTCTAACTGATTGTTAGAAAAGGAAACTGTGAGCGAGTATTTACTTACTTTGAAATTCGGTATCTAAGCTGTAGGTTTCGATTTCATCGTTTCAGTTTTATTTTTTTACCTCTCATTCCCTATGTGACTCATGTTATTTAAGATCTGTTGACAAAGCCTATGTGTATTTCTAGGATAGACAGTAATGAATAGATTTTTTAGGAAGCGATCCTTATTTTATTCACTATTCAAGCGTAAACTTACTGATCGATTTTGGTCGTATGAAAAGTGAAGTTGGAAGATTTTTTGCGTCCTGTATTATAGTGTACATTTTGTAAATAAAGTAAATCTTATTGTTAAATTTATCGATGTATTTCAATTTATTGTATCTGTTACAATGAATGCCAATAACCGCAATCAGTCAAAGTCAACATGTCCGACATTTGATGGCTCTTGCCTGAGCAGCCGACTAAAGTTATCCTTGACTGACTAGTATCACCTTTGGCCAAAATGGATGAACAAATTATATTGATAACCGAATAACTTTGTTGATGTAATAATTTTTCTAACCTTATCCAACTGATGTGTTTGGTCATCAGGTGAAAAAGAAAAAATAAAAAGCACTTATGTATTTGTTGGTACAGAGCCGGAGCTTGCTATTATGCCACTTACAACTGTTTCGAAGATTTTGAGCACGGCATCATTTTTTGTGAGCGTTGCTGACGAGAGTTGCCATTTTGAATCACGCAAAAAATTGTGGGAGGGAGCTGAGCTTTGGGAGGCTGTCACTTTCCGAAGTCGGCCATTTTAATTTTGACGACCGCGGTGGGCGAGAGGAAATTCGTTTTTTATTGCGTGCAGCCTGGTCCTGTAACTTATCTTATAGGTCCATGTTTCGCCAGCAATTCAAAGTAAAACAACAAATGATGCAAAATGAAGTAGAGCAAACTTTGTTTTTGTGGTTGCTCGCATACACCCACCATAGATCCACTAGGAAAGCCCAACTAATTTGAGATCGACCACACTGTTAAACAATTTGGAGTGAAATCCGGAAAGCAGTCACTCCGAGGTCTATTTCCTCCCAGGAAAACTTGAATGATAAGTATGAGGAGTGAACAGCCATCATACGAAGTGTAATAATCTCTGTTTTTTGGGGTGTGACTCTGCTCTGCAACAGGGAGCAGGGATGTTGATTGTTGGTGGAGGTCACAATTTTTTGCGAAAAGATCAACACGTCGGGCGGATTGAAATTTTGTTGTTTTTTTATTATTTTTGGATATGTATTAAAGTCGTATCACTCCACAAGAGTTTAAAAATCGAAAACCTCCCAGCAAAAAAAAAAAAAAAAAAAAAACTTTTTAGGTCACTTTTACACATTGGTCTCGACCGCGCGGTCGTTCAGTTGAGAACAAATTTTCACCCCTGTACTGCCGTGCTAAGGGAAAACGCAATATGAGCCTTCAGGCGTTGCCAAATTTCCTTCGATAAAATGTAAATTTCCTTGTAAACTTACGTACATTTTCCTCCCAATTTTTCAGATAATTTCTTTCACAATTTCACCTAAAGTTTCTGATGAAACTACAGATGAAAAAATGAAGCCTTGTGGCAATTGAACTTTCTTGTCTACGAGCGGTGCGTACTAGAAAAAAGGTAAAAATGTTGAGTTTAGCTGCGGCATTTCTGTTCTGGACGGCAGAATACGAGACGTTTGGATACGACTATTCGAGCTCCTGGGTTGTGCTCGTTGCATACGCGCCAAATTGAAGGCGTTTTGCTGTTTTGCCCGTATTGAGCGGCTTCTACGGTGCGTAGCGCCGTTACAAGTCAATGTTGAGATTTTCCTTTGCCCAGAGCTTTCAAGGCTTCAAATTTCAAGGACAAATATTCACAGCTTTCCTCAAAAATAAATATTTAATCGGAGGAAATTTGACAACTCTCAAATGTTCATACGGCGTTCTTCCTTAGCACGGCAGTGTAAGGCGGATCCCATTCCAATTTTCTGAGAGCAAAATAGGCTTCAGAGTCAACTGTATTCTAGATTTCAAGCCGAAATACCTAACCGTGTAATTGAATCGCTGCATTTACGACAATTTACAGAACGAGGCTACACAGGATAGGATGCCACAGTACTGCCGTGCTGAGAAACAAGGCCGCATGAACATCCAAGAGTTGCCAAATTCCCTTCGATAAAATGTTTATTTTTGAGGAGAGTCACAAATATTTTTCCTCGAAATTTTCAGGAACATTCAGCGAAATCACGAACAAAATTATCCGAAAAATCGGGAGGAAAGTATTCATGAGTTTACCAGGAAATTCGTGTTGTATCAAAGGAAGGTTGGCAACGCCTGAAGGTTCATACGGCATTTTTTCTCAGCACGACAGAGTAGTGCTCGCGGCAACGAGGTCACCACAATATCTCTTCCTGAGGTGGGAGCCCCAAATTAATTTGGAGTGGCGAGTACTTATCGGGCGGGTGGTAACAAAGTTGCTCGCCGAAGCACTGCTGATCCGGTCGGAGCCTCGGTTTTTCGGCCGGGTGATGCATCGAAAACGGGGTTGCGGTTCAAGAGTTAACGAACCGGAAACAAGGTACGACTCTGCCCGGGAGGGGGTGGGTTAAGGGTGTGAAATATGTTCATCCGTTTGGCACTGGAATTCGCGTCAGAGCGCAAGCGCTTTCCACGATAGGTGCGGGGGTAGGGGGATGCGGGGGTGTGGGCCATGGGGGGCACGGGGGATGAGTAAACACTCCAGCCTCCGAACGGCGACCCGCAGTACTTCGCGATCTCCTTTTCAGCCGCGGTCTGTTTCACCCTTATTTTCCGTCGTATTGTTGCCTTCAAAGGTGTGTTTCAAGGGCTACTAGGTTAGGTAATCAACCATGTAAAAATGTGTAGATTGGCCGTGAATCACGAAGCTCGTACTTTTTTGATGTATGGGAGTGATTTTCTTTTAACATACAAACTTCATTTGCATTTCACAGGTTAAATAAATTATAAAGTAATTTAACAATTTATATTTAAAGATAGTCAATCATTTACCTACCATATATAATAGCTAATCGGGTTTAGACATTTCAACGGATAAATCGGAATTTATATGATTAACAAACCCCGTAAGGCACCGTGAAAATAGCGTATCTAAATCCTAACCTCACTTTCGTTGTCAGCATGGTTAATATATTAAACCATTCTATTTTCTATTTCTTGCCTTTGAAACTTACATTAAGGCGCTCCTTACTTCCTGAAAGATCACCAAATTAGCGGTACGGCTATCACGTTTTGTTGGTTTCTCTTTTTTTGACTACCCTAAATATTGCGGAATGATTCAAAACCTGATAAATTTCAGAATTTTTCACCTCTTCTTACGGGTCATTATTTCTTAGTATTAAAATTGGACTTTAAAGCTGTGGCTTGAGTAAAAACTATAAATAACTCTTTAGAAAATAAATATTTTAATCAAAACAGCATTCCGGCATTTTAGAATCGGTTTAAAGAAACAGGTGAAGTTCAAAGTAACGGTCAAGAAATAAAATAAAATATTTTTCGGTAAAATAAAAATCAACATTATAGGCTTACGTACAACATTGTATTTGCTCTTTCCAATATGAAATTTCTAGCTACATTTGAAAAAAAGTTGATTGAAACTTTGCTTTGATACTAAAGTCACCGATCATGAAGGGTACACAACAAAGACAGTTATAAAAATTATTAAAAATTACAAGGTATTTCATTTGATTATAAACTTATTAATGTTATAATCATATGAGATTATATGCGGGAATCAATCCATCCGAGATCAAAAATATCTGTGTGCAAATGCTTACGATTTGTCTTTTCTTCTTCACTCGCTTCGATTGATAGCTCCCCTCAAAGGCGAATGAAACCAAGAAATTCCTGGCCGAATGTGCTAAGTTCATTCCAATAACTCTGTAGAACAATGACATTCTAATAATAAGTTGAAAATGAGAAAATGAAAAATATTAGGCAGTTTAAATTAGTTTCTAATCTGTGATTGGATGATATATAAGTGCATGCTTGACCAGCAAACATGGAAGAATGTAAAGACGTAAAGGACATGCGGACAGAGAATGAACGGAACAATGGCCCTTTAGTTTCATCCACGGTAAGACACATTTTTTTCATTTTAGCATTTTTTTTTTTTTTTTTTTTTTTTTTNAAAAAAAAAAAAAAAAAAAAAAAAAAAAAAAAAAAAAAAAAAAAAAAAAAAAAAAAAAACCCTGCAACGTTTTATGAATTGATGATTTCGACAGTAACATTTCATTCTACATACGCATTATGATTTGAGACTGATTTTCCTTAAAATAATCAGTATCTGGTTTCAAAGAATGTGATACATCATAAGTATGGTTGGTTGGTAGATATGTTTATTTGGTGCTTAAACTATTTGAGCCATTAACACCTACCTACCTTTTAATGATAAGAAACATGTTCTACCATAGGAATGATTCAACTTTCAATTTTTAATCATGAATGTTTCACGGATATTTAGTGAGCTTTCAAAATGTAGGAAAGCCGCAAGATTACTTACGTAGCTAAGCCACAGGATTCCTCGCCGCCGGGTAAGAAACGTATTTCAACTAGAACTGAAAGATGCGATGGAACAAAACACATCTATTCCATCAAGTTTGTATTTTCGGTTATTATCTACCCGTGAGTATCTCTCTGCATAGCAAATTTTAGATCGCCTTCAGACTGAGAGGATAGGCAACAATGACTGTCACAAAGTTCGAATAGTTGCGTGTTTGCGTCAAGTTTCGTACAGCTCCAAAATCTACAATTTCTGAGCGAAATAACGTGCTTATACTCGTAATTTTGAATTTTAAATTTATACAGGGAAGTTTGAAATTGGAAATTTAAATACCTATCTTAAAACTTCTTCATGAAAAATCAGTTTCTTAAGAGGATTTCTCGGGATCATCGGAGAGGTTTTCCTCCATCTTTCTCTGAGGAAACTTGATAGTCGGCACCTAGGACAAAACTACCCTGTTAAGAAAAAGTACGTTGGGGTAAAATAGATATTTACTTATGTCGTTTTATTTTAAAACTTAAAAACCATTTTTAAAATTGCGTGACATTAATTGAGATCAGGTTGCCTATTCAGTATTTCAATAATAATTATTTTGGTAACTGCAAGCGAAGTAGTACACCCACTCTGCGAGTCGAAGGGCTGCAATATTTGCTGTTTTTACAGCTGCGAAACTTAGCCAGTAACGGCTCATAACGCGTTGCCTCTTTAAAATTGTTCGCCGTGTTTAACCCATTTTTTCGAGTTTAAAATCTCTTTCTTCTCGTTTTAAGTAACACAATTTTGGAACGAATTTGACAAAAATTGAAATCTTATTGTAAGAGAAACGAGGACAAACTGGAAATCAATCGATGAAAAAGACGCCCTGTCGTTGAGCTAATAAAGATTTCGATTTGCTCTTAAAACATACGCTTCATAGGTGCTTGTTTTTTTTTTAGCTGGGCAGATATTTGAAGTTGCATAAAGTCTCTAAGACATTCACGTGCTGAACGTGATTGCTGAGTAATTTTACCTACCTGTCAAAAGTCTGATCAGTCGACTGTATTTTTCATTGTCGTCTCCTAGACGAGGTGACGTAACTCCATTCCAATGTTGTAAATTAATCGAAACAATCCAATTTTTTCAAGATTTACTTTTCAATTTCTGTCCAAAATTTTGCAGATTTCTCGTGTAGTTGGAAAAAAATCAGTGAGATTTTCAATTTGAAATGCTCGCATGTGCGGCATTAGCACGACGTCGGGAGGATTTCCAGTCCCAGATATGTGAGGGATTTTGTTGAATAAGTGTGTGACATATTTCCTCCATTTCTCATTTTCACCAATTGCAAAGATTATAGCCCGAGGAATCACGGGTTCGACAAAGAATAAACGGAATGAGAGAAGGAACGGAAAAAGGAATTTTAGAATGAGCCAATCGAAGATTACGAAAAACGTTCAATTTTTGTGATCTTTATTCCCGTTTGTGACTCCATTAGGGGGCGTCGTCTTAACTCTCAGTATAAAGGGACTCTAGTGGCGATATGCAGAAAATCCTCTGAACCCATGCTCCTCGACGACAAGAACCCTAATTTTCGCAGAGAGGGTTTTCACGGCGAGAGCCGAAGCGGTGGACCGAAAAATGAATTCAAGCTCGTGCAATTACGGGTATTTATCTTTTCTTGCTCTTATTTTTTAAGCCGAGGAGCGCAAAAGCGTTTAATTAGTCGGGGACGGGAAACGTTCCGAAGTTTGACTCGCGAAGGGAGCGAGGGTGAAAGGTGGGCGGAGGGGTTCGTAGAACGTTCGCCGATAACTTGAGAGTGAATCCTGAGCTCTCAGTTTTCCCGAGTAACAAATTATTCGCGCTACGAGGTAAGATTTTTTGCCCTCGCACTAGTCGGAATCGACAGCGTATTTTCTTCGGAGCTATAACGTCATGCCGCGCAAAGGATCGAGTAAGTGAGAGAGGTTGGACGAAATTTGGAAAGTTTCAAAGCTTAGAACTCCATTTATACGTCGCAGGCGAATAGTAAAATCAGACATTTTGTCAAATGCCTAGGCGAATAGTAACATATTTTAACTTAGATTGAAATTATGATTTCCAAATTTCGGACAAAATAATTCATTGCTCCTGCAAGAAAAAATTCTCAGTAAAAATGTGAAAATACAATAGCATTTTAAACAATTTCTAGCTCCTGAAGAGACACTGATCTTTAAAAAGTATGCAGTCGGGCTATAGTTCCTATCGACGGGCTTTACACTTTATCGCCATTGGCTATAAAAGGCTATAAGAAATTGTGTAGAAATCCGTGTGCTTTGGAAATCATTAAGTTTGATACGGAACTACCTTTATATTTACAAAACACACAATATATTTTCCTTTAGAACAGATTTTTTTTTTTCATCAATTAAAATGAGTATAGTCCATACAGAGTGTGCAAACATTTCAAAATCATGAGTTGAAAAACGCTGACTCCGCGAGATTAAATATTAGAGTCTAACACAAAGCGGAGCGGCGACGCACTGGCGCCTACAAACCTAACAGGGATACTTCACGCATTACGCAATGCGTGAAGTATCCCTGTTAGGTTTGTAGGCGCCAATGCGCGTTTCGCGCTCTCTGCCCGCCCGCCGCGCCGCAGCGTGCCACAGCGTCTGAAGCAGCTATTTCACACCAGAGTTATTGCACAGTATCATAAGGAATTGAAGGCGCTCGGCGCTCCAACATATTAAAAATGACAGGCATCCTTCAAAAGTACGGGGCTTTCCTCGCAAAATAAATCAAGATACTACGGCACAAAAAGAGAGCGGTAGTCCAAAAACTAACTAAGTCCTAGTATCCGTATTTAGTAACGTTTAGTATAAACTTTAGCGTCTGGCTGTTGCTTAATTGCCGTCGGCTATAAAAGGCTATAAAAAATTGTACAACTGGCTACAGAAGCTATTGGAAATCTTACAGCCGGCTTTAGGTCTATAGTATTTTGGAACACACATTGTACTGCCAATTTTTACAGGGGTATTTGCCTGCGACATCTACACAATTCTGGGGCTCTTAAAGCGGCTCCATTGGTTTCCTAGTGAAATTTTCCTCTAGGAACTCCCATAAAATTTATAATATGACGATATAAACATATAAATGTTCAGTTTTAGTAAAAAATTTCATGTTCGACCTCTCTGATTTACTTGACCCACTGTGTGCCTCCGTCTCTCCCATACTCCAAGCCCACTTTCCGAGATGCACAACTATTTAGATCAGAGGTTGGAATACGAGCTATTAAAGTTGAAGTTTACAAGTAATCCAGATGTTTAAACTCAAAAGAATGTTGTTTAAACGCCCTAATTCATCGACACACCGTTCAAGCAACTTCCGACTGCGGAATTTAAACTTACAAGTATTTAACGCAGAACAAACACCGTGAGAGTTTCATTAGTTTTCCAACTCGTTTTGAGTATATCAGTATGATAATTTGGGGGGGGGGAGGTAATAATATGTCAATGTGGTGAAAAATAATAAGATCTTTCCCAACGCGAATTTTCTTCGACAATATTGAATTATTGGACTACATTTAGCAGAAAGGAGCCAAGCAGGAGCCAAGCCACATCAGCTATTGCCAACTTTACCTGCACAATTTAATTTTTTACGAGAGGACCTTTGTGCGGATTACCTTGAGAATTTCAAGGAATTTGCTTCATACAAGGCAGAAAATTCACTATTTGCATAAAAAGCCGCACAATTGTTTTTATGTAAAAAATTGAATTGCTTGATTAAATTCGGTAATAGCTGATGTGGCTTGGTTCCTTCCAGCTCAACGCAGTCCAATTATTCGTAGTAGAGAGATGTTAATAGATCCTTTTTTTCCTGCGCCTCCCATATTTTGTTTAGAAATGATAATTTCCAGAATAAATGCTACTCATTGAATAACTAAAAATTTAATTTAATATTCAAACACGATCCGACGAGGGACTAAATACTCTTCAAAACATTATAAATGAGGAGTTTTCTTAAAAATGCAAAAATCGTATTTTTTTACGCGGACAAAAAAACGCGCAGTGGTGGTATTTTTCGACGAAAAAATAAATGTGCACTTTTGAAATGCAAAAACAAAACGCCAGCTGTTTTCAGAGAAACGAGACTCAACCTTGGTTGTCAAGATGAATATAAAAATTCAAATTCTATCTGACGAGGCAAAAATTTTTGAGGAAACGATTGTAAAAACGCAATGCTAATAATGCTAAAAAAATGCCGGGTAGGGTAGGAAGGGATTACCAATAAAATTTCCTGTAACTAAAATTCTTCCAACGTTATCAGAGACATCATCTCTATTACATTCACTTCAGATATTTTACTAAACTAGCTGCTTCAGCTCGCTACGCTCGCTTGCGCAGCTAGCCGGGGGCTTCGCCCCCTGGACCCCCCTTTGGCTTGCTTCACGAGCCTTTTGCGTTGCCAAATTTCGCAACGTCGGTCGCGCAAATATGTCGTTATCAATTCGAGATAAATTTTGCAACATTGGTAGCGCGAATAAAAAAAATCAAGGAGTGCTGGCTTAGAAAATTTGAGAAAATCGAAAATACAATTACAACCTGCAAATCTACAGATCAGAAGCTTTCATTTAAAAAAAAAAAAAAAAAAAAAAAAAAAAAAAACATGCAAATCGGTGCGGTGGTTCTCTCGAAGTTAATATCCCAAAACTCGGACTTTAGTCTGAATAAATGGAAGAAAATTTGAGGAAATCGAAAAAAACAATCAAAGCTTGCAAATGTACAGATCAGGATCTTTCATTTAAAACAAAAATCAAGCAAATCGGTCCGATGGTTCTCTCAAAGTTAAGGTCCAAAGATTCGGAACTTCGTGTTTTAACATAAAGGATTGACCTGTAATTCAGAATTCAATAAAAAAAAAGGATTTTTTTTATTTTTTTATTTTTTCAACCGGGAGATTTCTAAATGCAGAGTGCGTCCCCTACTCCCCTGAAATTAAAACCTCATATTTTCAGTGCATTGGACAGTCTCGTAAAATCTGATGAATAATTTCACAGAAATTTCAAATGCGTCCTTCCCTTACGTCACCCTGAGCCACCCGTCATTACTAATGGAAGATATCACTCAGCATCTTATTCTGCGGCTAGCGCTCGAGGGGTGGCGAGCGAAAATTTTGCGGACGAAGCGTTTTCCGGGCGTAGCGGAAGGGCGGGAAGAGGCAGGGGAGGCATGCAGCTACTTGGCCACTGCGTCGCGTCACCATAGCAACTCGGGCGCCTGCTGTGCCGGGAAAACTGCACACCGTAGCACCGTAGCGGGAAATCATGTCGTTAGGCCTCACTTCACTCACAACTCCCGATTGTTCCCGGGATCCCGCACTCAGTGCTTTCTCCAATTTCCATCCACTCGAGAAATTAAAAAAAAAAAGAGAAAGAAATTCTGGGCCGAGAAAAATAACTCAGAAATGACAATTAAACACCGGTGTTTTTGTTGATTTTTCATTTGAATACTGGAGCATTTATTTTTTCGGAGTACGCTAACTGCAACCATCCACGTGGAAAGGGATCTTGGTCCACAAAGGCTTTTCTCATCTCATGGCTCAGTTTTTGTTGAGTGGGGTGGACAAATCTGATTTTGAGACTAGAACTATTTCTGGAGAAACTATCATCAGTGTCTTAATTCTGGGCCAAGAAAGATAACTCAGAAATGACAATTAAACACCGGTGTTTTTGTTGATTTTTCATTTGAATACTGGAGCATTTATTTTTTCGGAGTTCGGTAACTACAACCGTCCACGTGGAAAGGGATCTTGGTCCACAAAGGCTTTCATCGTGGCTCAGTTTTCGACGAAAGGGGTGAAAAATCTGGTTTCGAGACTGGAACTATTTTTGGAGAAACTATCATCAGTGTCTTGGAGAAGAAGTTACATGCTGTTCCGTTCATAAATTTGTGTGTCAAAAGAGACCATAGATGATCCTGCAAATAACGAGCCTGAAATAAAGCTGACTAGAGATTTTAAACAATTTCTCTTGAGACTGCACTTTTTGAGCCGAAAATTTTGATTATTTTCGGAAGTTATTCCCTTGACACTTTAGACAAAGTTTTTTGAGATGACGAGGTTTTATCGAATTGAAAAAAAAAAAAAAATTGTCTGCTTCATTTCGGGATGAAACATTTTTTTCCCGCACTTTCGCAACTTCTGTAGCCATTTCATGCCGATCTATGTTTCAGCCGACTGTAACTGCAAACTTGTTTCGTGTAGTTCATGTTGATATATAGCTAATGATTTGCTTAACATTAATTCTATGCAGTCCGGAACAGGTTAAGGAGATAAAAAAAGTAAAAGGTAAATTTTAAATATTGCGAAACATTGGATTTGCCTGAGGTAAAGCGCTGTATTATTCAGGGGGGAGGGCGGGGGCGCCAGTGATGTAATCAGTGAGGAAAGAGAATCCTATCAATTTTGATGTTAAGTGGAAGTTTCAGAAGTGGAATTATTTGAGTGTTCGTGCGCTCCAATAATCTTTACACGGTGCTACCATGCCCTATTTTCGCTCTAATGGGATAAACAAAATAATCCGCTCCACATTGATTTGCAAGACATAAGTCCTTAAACTGACAGTTTTTTGCGCTATAGGAAGTAAAACATAGATGAGGTAAAAGGGGAATCATCCTAGTGTCAATATAATGACCTGAGAATTTCGTTTTATTTTATGAAAAGAGAACACACCAATAATACTTCTTAATATTTCACAAAATACTTTTCACACACGGGGGAAAATCAAGGACGAATTCAATTTGTCATTCAGAAAATAAATTAGGACAGAAATTCTGCAGCGAAGCGAATTGAGATACGAGTTTTTGTAGTTTCGCACAGAATATGGTTCACGAGCTCATTCTCCTAAATCGATATAGGAAACTAATATGGCCATGAGAAACTCAGGACTGGAGGTGAAACTCTCGAGACGAGATCTTGGCAAATAAATAATAAATGCCTCTCACTATATCGGCGCGGAAACTATTCTTGAACCACCCACACAAGGAATTGTTTGCTTGACCGTCTTTCCTTACATCCAAAGGAAGACGAAGAAAACAATTTTCTAAGCACAAAGGTCATCGCGGTAGGCAGAAATCAGTTATAGTTATACTGCCGTGGTAATGAAGAACGCCGTATGAACATTCCAGAGTTTCCGAATTTACTTCGATAAAATGTTCATTTTTGAAGAAAGTTATGGATATATTTCCTTGAAATTTTCAGAATCTTTAGATGAAATTGTGAACAAAATGATCTGAAAAATTGGGAGGTAAATATTCACAAGTTTACCAGAAAATTCGTTGTCAGCTTAAAGGCACAGTTATGTGAGCCATAAATGTCGTAGATCGTGAATCGAAACGATTTTCACTGCTGTCACTTGCATTGACTGTCAATCCTGTCGTCTCAAAGTACAGCGAAGAAATCTATTTGCGAAGTCTCTCAAAATCCGCAAACAAAAACAGCCGTAAGCTCGCCAATCGCGCCAAATCGACGATACGCCAATCCGCGCAGAATCATGCAATATTTTCCATTCAGTTCAATAAAGCACCTACCCCAGTTTGCAAAATCTGCGGAATTAAAATTATTACAGGATGAGTGAATTTTTCTTTGTCAATTACCCATAATTCTAATATTTAAAATTACAGCAACTGCTTAAAGTATAATTGTTGGTTACATTTCATTTCCAGATGGATTTTCTCTCGACTAGAGGGGCAGACGGTCTAGGCGGACCAGAACTACAAAACGACTAACATCACTTTCACACTCCGTCACTGCCAAGCAGACTGCCAAATTTTCGACTGCCTCTAGGACCGTTCGATGAGAAAACTGAAGCAATGACAAATACTTTAATCTTTATAGCAATCCCTTGCTTGTGTGTTGTGATAACCAGTGTCTCCGCTCAAGATGCTCAAGCTGTCTCTCAGAAAGGTCAGTATAACTCAGGTCCACACCGATCCAATTGGACAATTTTCGTAGAATTGTCCGTATGCGTTTAACGCCAACTAGCGGTCGCTCTGTGTTGAGCGCAATGCGTGAAGTATTCTTGTACTCTTGTAGGCGCTAATATGCTTTCCGCCGATCAGCAGCGGCCGTTCTGTGTTGAGCGCAATGCGTGAAGTATTCCTGCACACTTGTAGGCGCTAATATGCGTTTTAAGCCGACCGGCGCGGCGGCGCGGCGGCCGCCGGTGTTTGGCGTGATTAGAAATGATAATGCAGCATTAGATTTGAAAGAAACTGAGGAAACAGAGGAGAGATAATAGTTTGAAGAATGGTTGGGTAAAATTGATGAAACGGTTCATGCAGAGCGCAGACAGAAATATTCGAATGAAGAGTCTATGGAAAATTAAATGAAACACTATTTGTCGCCAGATCAGGAGATTCTAAGGAACATCTTGTTATCGGACTGACCTAAGTCTATCGACCTTAGATGATTCTTTTTTTCGGTCCAATTTGGATTTCCTCTTAATTTTAAATCTCATTTAAGCCACTAGATCAACTGGGCCACATTTTGCAATAAGGAACCACTTATCCTGGTTCATTTTAGAAACAACATACGCGCCATCGGTTTCCCTATGCAGAGAAGTGCTTTTATGGAAGAGCCAGAGATATTGGTTCCTTATTGCAGAATGTGATCCAACTTTAGTTAAAGGAGACTTCAAATAAAATGAGTCATTATAAATATACGACCCTCGTAGTAATGTTAATAGGGGTGGTCCTACGGGTGTAATATGCGCTCACTAGGAGATGATTTGGTTCTCAAAATTTCGACTGTTTATTATTTGAATTGCATTTTGCAAAAAGGAACCAAGACTATTCCAGTGTCACTAAGATCGTGCAACTTTTCTTAATCTAGCAAGTAAAAACTGATCATTTAGGCAAGTTTTCTTATTACTCTCAATAAATTATAAAGACAAAAATTACCGTGGTAAATTTAATTTTTTGCACGATTTGAGTAATTATATTGCAAAATAAGTAAATCGCACAATTTTAGCAACAGTGGAATACTCTTGGATCCTTTTTGCGAAACGCAGTCCATTTGGTGGAGGATAATAAGGCGATTTTTCATATTTTGGACTAGGGGACGCAAAACGAGAGGACCACTGCAACAAGACTGTGGATATATACGAGGACGTCTCGAGCCCACCTCTGACCCCCGAAAATATGGGGAAACCGATGACGTGCTCGTATAAGTTCCGCTCATTCCGTGGCACGCCCAAGGACTGGATCCTCCGCATCCGCTTCAAGAAATTCAAGGTCGGCACCCTCCTCAACGCCTCTCATTGCCACGGTGGATACATGCAGGTGCGCATTTTCTTCCATAAGTTTGATTGCTGCTAAGTCATTAATACTGAGACGATGTGTTAGTATACAAGGTGTAACAAAAGTCCGTCCCACCCCCGCTAACTTGTCAACGAATTGAGCTAGGGAAATGAAACTTTGAGAATGTTCCTATCTCAAAGGGGACCATCTTTTTTTGGGGGGGACGGGGGCCCCCAACCTTTTTTTCAAATAGCAAACCCTATCTTGTGATACCTCATTCAAAAGAGCATAAAAAAATCAAGTATTTTAGCGCAAACCGCAGATCAAACGGATTTACGAGCGTTTAAAGTTTCCGAATTTTGTCCGACCTCTCCTATTGACTCGATTCACTGTGTGAAGGTTGGTGTCGCAGAGCGCCCTTGTGTGCTATAAAAGCGACTTATACATACTTAATACAGTAGAAATCGGATATTACGACATCGCTCATAACGACATACGGGTTATAACGACCTGCGATCTGGTCAGGCCCATGGCTGAAATCCCATGTATTCAATATACCTGAGAATCGGTAATAGCGACTGTCGGATAGAGCGACCTAGATCAACCTAGATAAATCGATCCCTAGAGGAGGGTCGTTGTAAGAGTACCTGTATAGCGAGAGTATGGACAGATCACTTCATGGAGGGCATAGGGCCAAAAAGTGCAGCCACCCTTCTAACCAACTTCTAACGCACAAAATTTCACTGCCAGTCTGTAGATTCCAATTCTAACGAAGATGGCTAAGAAAGTACCTAAATGAGCGTTCTTCCACAAAAATGAGTAAATTTATGCAAAAACTAAGTCAAATACGTGCTTTATAAACGATGGTTCGTAACAATTGTTCAAATAAATCGTCTGGATAATTGAAATTCATAGGTTGGCTGCATTTCTGGGCTCTAACTTTATTCACGGAGGCATCGGTGAAGGCCTGATGGATTTTCGGAGTTTCACATGTCTATACTCTCGCTATACAGGTACTCTAGTCGTTGTATCCGATTTTCACTGCTTTCACAATTTCAGAGGAATAAATTGACGGGAATTTTATACGTCTACTGCCCACAGATCATCGACGGGAACGCGCGGACGGATCTGAGCAACCGGAAGGAGCCGGGCCTGTTCTGCGGGGAGATCGAGCACCCACAGACGTTCATCTCGGAGACGAGCTTCGTGAAGGTGGTGTTCCACGCGGAGAACTTCACCGACCAGACCTACTTCAGCTTCGACTCCAGGGCCGAGCAGCAGTTCGAGGTCTACCTCCGCTACGGACAACACCCGGAGCTCTACCCCAACCGCCGTGGACAGGTCGTCGCCGGGTCAGTTGAGCTCCTTTGAAATCAAACACTTAAAGGGAATGCAGGGAAGATCCAGAATTCGTCACCAGAGACAAGAGACCCTCCACTAGTATCTTGGCCATGGTGGAAGCTTTTACTTTCGGGACTTCAGCATTCTACTGTTGACTCACCTAGATGGTTGATGTTTAACAACGTGTTGGCAGTTTCGTTTTGCAAACAAGCCGAAAATGGCCGAAGTTTAGGAAACTTGTTTGGCTCATGACGTCACCCGAAGCTCATCATAGACCATGTTGGTAGGCCAACAGCCGAAATTAGGGTGATGACTGTTGCTCCCTGATAATTGTCCATAAGGAACTGTTGAATCCCCGAAAGTAAAAGCTTCCACCTGTCGCCAAGAGGCCAGTGGAGGGTCTCTTGTCTCTGAGAATTCGACACCTTCCAGCCAAAGTATCACAAACGCCATGTGATGTGCCAAAATTTCCACAAATTGTTGGTTGGAATAGTTTTTTTTTAAAATTTCACTGAATTTTATCGGCAGTACAAAGAAAATTTTGTGAATTTTCCGGACAGCTTCGTCAAACTATGTCTCTGTAAAAAAAATGGCGGCGGAAATTTGGAAACGTCGCATGACGCTTGTGACACTTTAGCCGAAAGGTAACGAATCGAGCAAATGTCTGATAAGGATCCAAGGATTGTGCGAAAAACACGAGAGCATAGCGCAAAAGTTGAACATGGAAACTAATTTGACATTATTACTCACACTCATTTCCATAGAGCCTCCCAAAATTTCGCCCCTTTTTCGGTATTCGATTCGACCATCGAACCAAGGTTTAAGTGGAAGCTTATAATAACAGAAAACTCAGGAAAAAATTTCAAGATGAGTATAGGAACCGTTTCCGAGTTACCGGGGGGGGGGGGCAAAGGGGTCAAACTCCGGCCTTATTTTTCGCTAATTTCTTGTTGAATTGATGTGTCTACAGGGTTGTAATCGTTGTTTACACATGTTATATACACCGGTTCCTACGTATTTTTACACGCAAAATCGAGTTTTAATGTTGACGAGTCGATATATCGATCGGTTCTATCGATTTTTTAAGATTCTTTACGGAAAATCGACGATTTTTTTAGATTGAAATTGTTCATTTTTTATTTATGGATGACTAAATGCCCCTAATGTGACTATAAAACACCGACACATACGAATTTTTTCTTGTAGAATCGATTTTCAACGTTAACGAGTCGATATATCAATCGACTTAAAATACACAATCTGATCCAGCCGCCTGCGCTCTCTTTTTTGAAATAAGACGAATAGACCAAAAACAATCTTATTATTTCTTCAAAATAATGTTCCTCGGTATTTTTCGAATATGCGGCTCGATTTAAAACCCAAAATTATGAACTTATTGGTCAACATCATTGTACAAGGTCACTCACAGTGGATACAGAAGAGCGCCTTCAAATCAATCCATAAACTTAATACAAAATTCTAATACCACTATTCGTGCGTGACGGCAGTAATTTTGCATACCCGGCCATTTGAAGGCGATTCATTGACTTCAGGCAACGGGGTACGAATTACAGCAATACCAATGCCGCCCACCTGGCCCCTAAGGAGCCAAAGCTGGGGGCCAAAGATAAGAAAGACGTAATTCGGCCTCTTTTTTTTTCATTTTTTAACCTAGATTAATTGAGCCGATTTAAGGACGGAGGAAACCAAATCAGAAGAAAAATGGTTTAAAGTTTCTTTCATCCATTGAACACGCTGCTAAAGATAAAACTCGATAGCTACTTTTAATAAATTCGGAGAACTGCACAAGAATGTATAAAATAAATAATACAAGTTTTCGCTTGCACCCGATTATTTCATGAAGACGCTTGCGAGTGAGGAATCACACCATTTCCTCTGATCATTTTTCTTGTTTAAAATATTTTTTTCTCGAATTTAAATTCCCAACAAGAGGAAATGTGCGGCTACTCGAGCTTAAATGTATTCGAATCTAATTTTTTGATAAAAATGTGGCTTGGATTTTATGTTCGTTTTATTCAGTCTAATAAAGATAAATCAGATTTGGTTGAAAGAAATTGCTAGACCTTGTACTTCGGTTGCCTTTTAGTGTAACTAAATTTTTACTCAGCCGACTAATTTTTTTACTAGACTCTGGTTTTTTGTCATGTAAAAATGCAAACAGCACTCGTATCGCAAGAGAATGCGTTTGTTGAGCATGGGCACAGCTGGTAAAAATGACGAATAGGCCAACAAATTCTATCTGAACGTAAAACTATGTAAAACACCAGTGTTGTCAGATTTTTGAGATGTAAACATGATTTTCGCAATCTAAACTCGAGCATTTGCGCAATTCTCAAAAACCAAAAACTATTAGGCTTTTGCTATGCTCGTCAATGGGGCACTAAATTCGTAATTTTTGATTATCATGACATCTATATTAACTAGTGTAAATGTCTACTACCGTTGAATATACATCGAGTTGTCGGTCAGACTAATATCAGATGCATAAATAATGAAATCAGATTCATAAGTGAAAGCTGGACTATTTAGTTGGAGGACCTGGCCCCCATATCACGATAGGGGAAAATTTCTCCCGAAAAATTCTCAAAATTTATCTCTACTTGGACGCACTATGTGGCTTTTGTAACGCAAATTTTCCATTCTTTTTGGCACAAAAATTTCGCCGTTGCATATATTTTCAGTTCAAAATACACTAGAAGCGATAGATTTGACAGATTTTCTAATACCTGGGAAAATTTTTAAAATCTTAACTCTATTTGGACGCATTTTGAGGCTTTTGTAACGCATATTTTCCATTCATTTCGGCACAAATATTACGCTGCTTTATTTATTTTCAACTTAGAAAACTTTCGAAATGATGGATCCAACAAATTTTCTGTTTTATTGCCCTCCACCAATGATACTTTCAATTCTAAGATATTTTCAATTCTAAGTCAGGCACGAGCCCCTAGATCAACTGTCTATTGGATTTCCTAGTGGTTTAATGTAACCAGGAAGCTAGTTTACACTATCTTTCATTTTTCAATATGCGAGAAATGCCTATGCATAAAAGTTTAAAGAAGTGGAAACTTAGTAGATCTTATTATTTTTTACTGATCAAGAAAGTCCAACGTTTCAAAAATGCTTTTCTAGCACGCAAAATTCCCCACGTTCTCGGAAACGAAATTGAAGAATAAGGAACACATTAGAATCAAGTGAGAGTCAGTATTTTATCTATAGGTAAATTCACGACATTCAGTTTAAGTTAGAATGCACAGTTCCACGGAGGAGCGTTTGCGGTGGAAAATAAATCAACCTGAGATATGCCGCAGAGATCTCAATAGAGATCTGGAGAAAATCCAATTTCAACTCTGAGTTATTGAGGGTCCCTCATATTTTCCTTTGGCTATCAATAATATCTGTATACAAATCTAAGCGTAAACGCAAGTCAATTCGGTTGGCTTTATACTAGGTTGCGAAGCTCTTGCCATCAAATTGTCAAGTATTACAATGGAGTTTCTTCAATTTTATCTCAGGTATATTGGTTCTAATCTGAGTGACCTAAAGTTGGACCAGGTAACCGAGTAACAAACACAAAAGATTAAATGAGTCTCGGTTATTGCAACTAAAATCTTTCATAAATGCAAGCAGCACTGGGTCAGTTTCGAATAGTTACATAATCGTGTTCCCATGATTTCAGATTGTAGATCAGCGAAAAATAATAAGTTCTTTCTAAATACCAAGTTTCGACGTCCAATTCTAACGACAATAATTTGATCGTCCCAAAACAAGGAGGTGTTAAAATGCATTTTCATTAATAAACATGAAAAATAAGCTAAGAGATGTATATAAAAGCTAAGGATGAAAATCTTCAGTTATCCAATAACAATCGAAGCGCTGGGTGCAGAGAGGGCATTTCGTCGGTTGGCTGACATAGGGCGTAACTACACATTGCGGTGAGCCCAGGAAAGCATTGAAACCTTTGGAAGACAGGGTTCATTGCATAGTGCAGTTACGCCTTTATATCAGGTAGGCGACGATTTCTTAGTTGCGGCGTCGATTCCCCGTTAATGTTTCATTCTTTGTGATTTAAAGCGAGTGCATAGAATTCGTTAAAACTTTTTCTGGATTTTCTATAAGACTTTACAACGCTGGAAACTAAAAATTTCAGGGAATTCGTCCAATAGTTTCCTCTCTAAAATATAAAATAGCAGTAGAGATTCTGAAAAACCTAATCTAAGAAATGTCCTTTCTGCACCCATCGCCTCTATTCTATGTCTCATAAAGTTTTATACGCGAACTTTGTTGTACGTTAAACTCACCTTCCATTTTTCCCAACAGAAACATTGCCGCGGTGAAGAAAATCTCGTAAGAGCCTCCAGTTGTTGTCAAATATCTTTAGAAAACATTTTAATGTTTCGGTGGAAACAGCATCTATATTCCTCTTCAAATTTTTCAGAGAAATTACTTCACAATGTGATCAAAAGCATATCGACGGTGAAACTACCAAACCACGTATCTCGGTTTGCGACGTCGCAGACTTCCTGTCATACTTTATTTTTTAAATGAAAAACTACTTTACGTCCAGTCTTGAAAATTTCTGTGATTTTTCCTCTTCGTGCGGAGAAAATTCTGTGAAAATTTCAAGGAATGATATTGATTTGGTCTACTTCAAAAAAAAAAAAATGCGAGCGTAGATTTTTAAACACCGCAAACGAGATACGTGGTTTGGTAGTTTCACCGTCGATATCTGATAATTTCAAGAGTATAATGACTTTTCTCGAAAATCTGTATTTTATCGAGAGGAATGTGGCAACATTCATACGTTCATAAGACGTTTCCGCTCAACCTGCAGATTACCACTTTACTGAAATTAGAGGGTGAATTTCGATGGGTTCGATGAGATCACGTTCGTCCGCATTTATTAATATAAGACTAAGTTTTTGCTGATGTTACGTCTCGGGTTGGATCTCAATCTGCAATCCGGAATAAAAAGTTGGAAACAATATTTTAAGCACAAATCGAATCAGAGGTTTATGAGTGGAGCAAACTCGAGAGGATTCCATCTGCAGAGTGTACCGCACCGCATCATGAACTTTATCCCGAATATAAAAACGGAATCGTAAAGTTTTTCTCCAGCGTAGCCAGCATTACACTAAATAAGATTATCTAAGTAATGACACAAATCTAAAAAAAACTCAATCCGTATAATTTCCTCATTTTAATTCGTGTGGATTATACGGAACCATAGCTCCTCTTAGTTCAAGATTTAGCCATTACTTTGAATGAGTTGAAAATTTCTGCATTTTAAGATTTAAAAACCCCGAAAATTGAATCTAATCGGTAAAATATTCTTCTTCTATTCGTGACTAGGGCATGTTTAACAGGCAATCTAGTACTGAGCACATTGAATCATAAATATTATTAGAACAAAAAAATCTGTAATTATAAAGGCCTCGTCAGTTCAATAAAAACATCAATAATTAGGTTGTGTTGGGTCATACCACTATTTCGACTCCTAGTAGTTCGGGGTCGCATACCTAGCAAAATTGAAGGCGCACCGGATTAGGTTGTGTTGGGTCATACCACTATTTCGACTCCTAGGAGCTCGGGGTCGCATATCTAGCAAAATTGAAGGCGCGCCGGATTAGGTTGTATAAAATATTCAATCATCCTCGGGAAGAAAGACACTGCTTGTGCCTATCTCCTAGGCGGTCGTCCAGGTAATATATTTCCAGAGGGTTGAAACGGGTTGGAACGGGGGCACGAACAATGATCTTAAGTAAAACTAGATCATGGAATTATATGAAAGACGTCTAACATTAGGGCTGGAATAACCGCTATAGAAGTCCGATACTTTAGGATTTTAGGCTAAGGCTCAACTCAGGTCGAATTGACCCGTATTTAAATACATTGAGTTTCATAGTAAGCTAGTTCGATAGGTTTTCATGTTATATTATTCATGTTGTATTATTGTTGTTTTATGTTATGTTTTCGAAGATAAAATATGCTCTTTTCGAAATGTTCACCTGTTTGGTAACATATTGGCGCTCTCTCAAGTTTATAGGCATTTATTCCAGGGTCAGGTAGCTCTGAAGAATGAGTCGCTCCTCTGACGTAAAGGCGTACTTCAATTTTTATACAAATTTCGGGGGATAAAAGTTCGGTCGTATGTACCGAAGTTTGGTGCTCCATATCATTCCAATTAATTCGGTTCGTTTCTCTGAATTAATGGTTTGCCAGACCCAACTTTCGGTCCGTGTAACCAAACTCGTGCTGTAAAGTGAACTGACGAACAAAGTTTGGTCATATATGTCCAACGTTCGGTTACACGAACCGAAAGTTCAGTTTCCCAAACCGAATATTTGAGGTGATATGGAATACCGAACGTTCGGTTTACACGACCGACTTTTTTTTAGTGACATGAGCCTTATGTTACATACAATTTTAAACTTTCTGAGGCTCGTGTAGACTTACGCCCTTACCTCCGAGTAATGACGAATTGGGCGTATTATCCCTGTCAAACGGAACTATGTGCCTTAAGATATGAGCCCTGAGACCCCTAAGAACACATGCATAACACGGCTCACGTCATACTGGACATAGTTCTATTCGACGGAAATGCGTCCAATTTTCCTACGTTTGGCAGCATCCGGAGCCTTGGTGTCTTGAAAAAATGTCTTCTTGACGCGGAGAAATCTCAAGAGTAAAGATGCCCGGCAATAAACTATTGATTGAGTTCTAAAAAGGCGCCAAGCGCCGATGTCCAACTTAGTCTCAATTCATCTCATGTTCGAAAGTAATCAGTACAAGTCCGAGTCTGGCGTCTCTGGCACTTTTTCTTTTTGTCTCCGCTCCTCGCGATTGATGTAAAGGACGCCCCAATCAGCATTGAACTGTTGCTCTCCGACAAGATTTATAGTGCTCTGCGCTTTGGGGCTGTTCAAATAAAATACGTGACGCTGAATTTCCGATATTTTCACTGCCCGCTCCCTGCAACGCATCCGTAACATAGGTTTGAACCCGGATTTAAAAAACGCTCTGTTCAACTCCCCGTCGACGCCCACGATTGGACGAATTTATGCTAAAAGGAACTATGTGCATAGGGTTTGCCTGTAACATAGTTCCTTTTAGCATAAATACGTCCAATTGACGTTTTAAAAAGAGTCACTACATATCTTAATGCCTGTTTTGTTTTCAATGAAGAAATCTGAGCAACGCTATGCCGGAAACTTTTATTACTTCATTTTTTTATAATCTGAGAGAAATTTTCAAGAAGTTTTGTACGTATGAAGTTTTGTAAATGCGTTGTATGACTTTGGTTTTTTTTTTTTTTTTTTTTTTTGGAGGGGGGGATATATGATGAATAGGGCATCACTTTGCAGTTGGGAAATACGAAATCTGACTTATTTGTAAAATCACTTATTTGCATATGGAAACGAATGTCATATAAGTTGTTTCTAAAGTGAAAAGAAAGTTTAGTTCCTATTCGCAAATATAGTCAAAATATGGATAGTTGGGCTGATCGTGGAGTGTTTATTATTGTCCAATCAACATTCGCTTCTGTTTAGAACAAACATAACGTGCCCAAACGATTACGAGCAACTATTGCTGCTTTCAAGTAACCTTCGTTGCTTAATCGAAGTTTTGAAGGCGCAGCGGTTGAAATGAACGCGAAACACTCTAAATAAAGCAGTTATTAGTTATCCACCACAGGAACCAAATGAATGTAACCAATCTGATGCAAGTGCATCTGCTATTTGAAGGTTATCAACATTGTCGTATTGACCGCGGGTGTTAATGACTGTAAATTTTGCAGGTCGTACTGCAATCGGGTGTACACTGACTGTCGGCTGCAAACATGCTACGTTCAGAGTCCGGCCTACCCGGGTATTTATCCACGACACCTTCAGTGCACTTACCGACTCAACACCCGGCTGCCCTTCATCAAACTCTACATCGAGAATGAAGAGTTCAACATCGATGGCCAACGCTGCGAGAACATCATGGTCTGTCCTATGCGACCCATCTCCTCCGGTAAGTACATTGGAACAAATTAGAGTGTTAAAATTTTAAGTGTAAAAATGAAGTTTTGAGAAAAAAAGTTCTGACCAAAAAATTTTATTGAAAAAATTCTGCGTTCTTTGTCAAATTGCCACTAATCATCCGAAAGACTCCTAGAAATCGCTTAGATGATTATAAATCGACTGATTTTATTTTAATTACATAAAAAGGGTCTTTATCATTTTAATGTTAGGCTACTTTTTGACAAGACAGCCCTAAGTACTATCTTTTGCATGCTCTCGTGGTTGCGTTTTAGACAAACAACAAACACATTCTCAGGTTAGAAATTGGCAGAGGAAGGCCGCAAATTACTCGGAAGCACTGTTTTCATTGGCTCTCTGGAGAAATAATTTCACTTACTGCTATTTTGCCTGAAACTACGTCATTTTTTGCGCACTTACGGCTTTCTCATCTGTCTCGTTTCCATGAAAATGAGATGAGTTTTGTTGTTTTAGTTATTTTAGTGATTTCATCTAAAAGAGATTAGACGAGATTTGAAGGAGACTCGATTTCGAAAATTTGCCACTTACTGACTCTCTTCGCTATTACGGCAGAAAAGCAGCCGAGACAAACATTTTTACCTCGTCTGTCATTTTTGAACAACCAGTATGTTAATTCTACATATTTATTTGTTTCGATGCAACGTTCCAGTTTCCAAACAAAAGCTTCGGTTATTTATTTTCATGAAAAATTCAATTATCAGGCCCTTGATGTGGTTAGTATGGGTTGATAAGTAGCAGACATGAACCATCGACATTCGAAACTTAGAAAAGGAGGGGGGAAGTTAAAAGTTGTTACAAGCTCAACTTGTCTCTCGTCCAGGACGTCAGGTCGAGAAAAATTACCAGCTTCGAGAAAATAGAGATCAAAAGTTACCTTATAAATTAAGTCGCTTTCGTAATTTAAAATTCAAATATTTTGGCCCCAGTTTCTTTTGATGCAAAGGGTTGATTTCTCTCTGCTGAATGTAGTCCACCTAATATCAGTTGTTGCCATTTTCAATGAATAATAGTTTTTTATCGTGATTAAACGGATAAATTGCGCGGTGTTTATAAATTGCTCTAAGTTTTTTACCTGCAACTCATCCACGAGACGAATTGAGTCCAACATCACAATTTTCCTCAAATCTTTTTTCCTCAGAGGAGGATGATATTCATCGTTGCATTCATTTTCAATAATTGTTCGTTAACTGCGATGTTGGGTATGTTTTAGGATCAGACCATTGCCCATATGACTATATTCGAATATACGACGGGAAAGATGCGACAAGTCCGGTGATAGGAACATTCTGCGGCATGGGGAAATTCCCATACTCTATCATCGGCACCACAGAAGACATTTTCGTCGAGTTCGTTAGCTCGCCTGCAGGTAAGTCAAGCCAAGAAACGACGCTAAAACAACGTGATTTGTCTGATTGTTATAAAATCAGAAGTACAGTTCATCAACAGTAATGCTGACATTTTAGAAGTGATCCTGCATCAAAGAGATCGCGTAAGGAAATGATTTCACGCATAAGGATGGAAGTGCGCTGAGTGCATTTGCGGCGCGGCGCTGCGCGCTATAAACATGAGCAGTGTTGAAACGCCTTCAATTTATTTGGATGCAATACAGACATCCATCAAGCAGGAATATTTGTAGCTTTACCAGGCGTTATTTACAACTTCAAATCTTCTACTGGCGATCATACCAGACTATGTTTAACATTCGTGTAATAAGATATTCTTATTCTTTCTCCTATTTTTCTCTTTTCCTTTCTTCTTCTCCTTCTTTCCTTTTAAGGTGCTGACTAAAAAGAGGCAATCTGGCATACTTTTACAATGGCTCCCCGATTAACTTACCTTCGCTCCATCGATTTTTATCAAATGTTTTATAGTTTCGGTTTTTTTTTTAAAAAAAAAATGTACAACTTGCAGTAGAGTATTAGAAATTTTTGTATTATGTAAAAACGTTTCTTAAGGCCTGTCACACTTTCTTACGTTATCATTTGTTACTATGACATCGCCCCTCTAGAGTGAAGTTGTAACTGCTTTTTTAGTTAAGCATTCGTAGGGCTGAAGTTGAAATGAAAGAGGTCCCTTCTGAAATAGGAATACTGATGCGTGCATAATAGCTGTGTAAGGTCCAGAGATCGAGTCGATAAGTCGATTCTGAATCCGCCGATATTTATTTCCTCTTGGCACTCTATCAATCACGAATAATACAAAGTTGAGGAAAAACATGATATGCAAATTCGTAGATTACCAGATTTCTCTCGAAAAAGAAATTTAGTTTCGGAAAGTAACATGATTTCATTTAAAATTTTCAGACATAATGGATTAAATTCCGTGTATAAAATGATATATGAAATTCAGAGGAAAATTTCTTAAAGAATTGTAGAATTTGCAGATTTAAAATCAAAAGAAAATCGGCAGCCTCCAAATGGACCGCATTAAGCAGAGTAAGGAATCAAGCCACATCATCTATTGACAAATTTAACTGGGCAGTTTAATTTTTTACATGAAAACGGTTGTGCGGATTGTTGTACAAATATCAGTGAAGCTTCTGCATGGTACGAAGCAAATCCCTTGATATTTTCAAAAAAATCCGCAAAAACCTTCTTGTGTAAAAAATTAGACTGCCCAGTCAATATCTGACGTCACTTGGTTCCTTGCTGTTTAACGCGGTCCAAATATTCTTACGGTGTTTTACCGAAGCGCGGTAGAATGATCGGATAGCCGGGGCTTCATTTTCCAGAGATTTACTATTTAAAAGTCCCGTTTAGACGGCTGCAATCTGCAATCTCTCGAATCGGCCGTGAAAGTAGTCATGCGTCACAAGAGCACAGGGCGTCGGAATTTGCACGATAAGCTGCGCGCGAGAGTAATTAATCACCGGGGCGACAAAGTATTACGCTCATCGTGAGGGCTTTCGCCAAAACACTTTGTCGCCCCACGCGATGCACGACGCACACTGGATCGAGTTAACGGATGAAATCGGACAAAAATTAGAAACTTTCAAAGCTCATAACTCCGTTTACACAAAATTGTGAGGTTCTAAAATTGGTTTTATTGGTTTCCTCGTGAAATTTTCTACCGTAAGCATCGCTTAAAGTTCAAAATGTGACGAAATGAACATCAAAATTTGCAGTTTTAGTCAATGATTTCATGTCCGATCTCTGATTGACTCAATCCACTGTACGACGCCGCGGGTTTCAGAGAGGCAATCACTTGCTGTCGCGCATGAAGGCAAAAACAATGTGACGCATGCCCCGGGTATTTCAGGGAACCGGCAAAAACGCTCGTACAGAGTTTTTCCATTACTTTCTGCGTACACGTGGGGCCGGATTCAACCGCTTTTTCCTCGTAAAAGGTCAAAGTCATTACACGCTCATCTTTTTAGGTCGTAGAACTTTCCGAGAGAATCTTCACGTTTTCTAGTTTTTTCGTGCATCTTTAAAAGAGACGGACGTCTATTAATACTACATACGTGATTTTTTTTTACAAAATTTAAATTTTCTAGTAACGCTCGGTTTCATCTCATTTTGGTAATTTCGTTTTAAAAACAGGATATTAAAAAGTGTTACGAATGGAAATTTCCTGTCATAGCCTTTCAAGATGCAATCCATTTGGATCAGTGTTCGAAACTCACAGGCGCCAACGCGCCACATGCGCCTAAGAAATCGGCCATGGCGCCTAAAATATGAAGGCTCTGCGCTACCGAGACCCCTAAAAATTGCCCCCCCCCCAAAAAAAAAAAAAAAAAATCATGGTTTTTCTGTTTGGCGATTTTCCGAAATTTACACCAAGTAACAGCTATTAGTTATGTACCTAACTAAAACATCTTGCGTCTAACTTATTACTAAATGCGCCGTGATACACAGGCAAAAAGTCAATTTGGGCAATAAAAAATCTTCAATGGCCCCTGAAAATCGAGCTAAATTCGCCACATGGCTCCTGAAACTCTAAGGTGAGTTTCGAACACTGATTTGGATCCATGTAAGACTTCGAGTTCGATTTTAAGCACAGATGAGGCATTGAGTAAAGAGAGGGTACTTCTTGGTCGCGGTTTTCTTGGTTTTATTGAGAGTGATTTATAATTGAAGGAGGGGGGTATTTCGTTTAATGATTTATCTGGAATTCATCGAGAGCATTGAGGGACCGTGAAGAATATTCAGTGAAAGTTTCAACGATAACTTTGCATTTGCTTTCCTCGTAATGAATGAAAATAATATTAGCGATGATTGTGAGACATCGCGACCGAGAAGAGCCCATTTGGCACTCAATGTTTCAACATTTTTTAAGGCCATCGACATTAAATAGAAATTGGATAGAAGAAGATGACAACGGATGAGGGAATGAGGAGGACGAATTTTTATTTTGTTTTTGATCTAGGGGTTGTAGAAAACGTGGTTTGAGAGTTTGCAAAAAGTTGAGGAAAATCCTCTCCCGGAAGATAGGGTCCTTTTTCACAAATCCGATCACAAATATTTGCGACCCAAATCCCTTTTTACAACGCGGAAAAAAAGTGTTTCGATGTTATCCCTTAAAATTGTGGTACCGCCCCAATTTGTTGGAGGATAGGGGCATTTCCAAGTAATGGGCCTGTTGCATTCAAGAGATACAGCCGCGCGAATAGACTTTACAGAGGTTAAATGACACGAAAATTACGATGTTCACATTAAAAAAGTCTGAAATACACTCCTTACTGCGCAATTTGCGTTGTTAGGAACGCGCTTTTTCAAATTTCCCGCGTCTGGGGGCAGTTTTCTAATCATCGGAAACGAGCAAACGGCGGGCTTGGTGATTTCCGGAAGATGCCGAGTCGTTGTTGTTGTTATTTTACGCTATATGCGATAACCAAATCGATCAACTTTTAAATGGACTGCGTTTTGCAATTTGGAACTATAAATTCTGGCCCGATTTAAAAACAACGTATAAGCCATCAGTTTCCCTATGCACATAAGTGTTTTTTCAGATGAGCCAGAATTTATAGTCCCAAATTGCGAAATGCAGTCCAAATATCCAACGCATTCCTTCTACATTTCATTTCACGATATCACGAGCTCCGATTTTTAGGTTATGTTGTCAGTTTTAGTTGACCGGAAATAGCCGCGAGTTGCCGTTAATTATTTCCGTTAGAAAACTGTCCCCAGACGCGGGAAATTTGAAAAAGCGCGTTACTAACAACGCAAATTGCGCAGTAAGGAGTGTATTTCAGACTTTTTTAATGTGAACATCGTAATTTTCGTGTCATTTAACATCTATAAAGTCTATTTGTACGGCTGTATCTCTTGCATGCAACAGGCCCATTGGGAGTGGTATCGCAAAATTTGAGTTAGTCTTCTAATTTATTGAGATACTACCACACTTAATTGTGCATGCCCATATCATCCAACAACCCCTATTCCTCTTATTTTTACGTTAACGGGCGGCCAGTTTTGTTCCTTTTGCAGTGTTAACTTTATGATGATTTCTTTTCAATGTGTAGTATTTTGGCGATTTACAGGTCCGTTACTGAGCACAGGATTCCACTTCAACGTAGGGAACTGGCCTGGACACATCGAGACAGCCGGAACGAAGAATGGGACCTGCAACTGGATCCTGAGTAACGAGGACTTGCTCAAGTCCGGTGACTCCGAAGGGATTTTCCTCTCCATCGCTCACTGGTACCCCCCGCACACCACCTGCACCTACCTCCTCAAAGGCAGACCAGAACAAATCGTCAGAATTTACTTCCCCAGGTAACGCCAAACAAAAATCCGATAAATACCTACGAAATAGGATTTGGTTGGATTGGACATGAAATCAGACCGTCTACCATTATTGATCTAAAAATCGAGCAAAAAGAAAAACACTAAGAGGAAACGTGGCCCGGACTATATGTAACAAGGTGGTGAAACCGTGCTAGGTCCAAATTATTTTGCGGGGAACCTAAGGCCAAAAAGATCAAATATTTAAATTAGAGTTAAAACGTTTGAGCTCGAATGAATTCCAGTACAAGACTGAGGGAAGAGAGTGTTCAGCCAATAAACTGAGGCCGAACCGATATATCTATAGCGTTTTGGGTATTTTTAGACCTCATCAGTATATGACACTCTTCAATGAGCCCAGCTCACTCTTTAGTGTTCAAAATTGTTGAGTTTGATTGAAATGTTTGAACTTCATAGCCTTGTTTCGCCCAAAAAGTAGTGTGGAATCCAAAAAAAACCCCAAGTTCTTTTGGTTTTTCCGACCGTTAAAAAAGTAATTCAAAGTAACCCAAAGTACCCGTAAACACGGAAATTTTTAACTGTGTGACATCCATATATCATCATGGATAGATTAATGATGGATTAAATCACGGAGACCATGAAAGTGAAAAATCTCAATTGGGGACCAATATGTCGAAGCAAGTGATTTTTTCAGAGACTTTTCGCTTTCCGATATATTCTAGTTTTTCCAGGTCCTAGACATCACAATTTACTGAATGTTTTTTCTTCTAACTTTTTACTAAATTCTTTGCTGCTTATTTAGTTTTAGGATAAATACGATCGAGTCCCCGATCGTGCCTTTCGACGGCGACTGTGGAGAGTCCCTGACACTGTACGACGCGAGCTGGGCCGATGACGCCCGCATCATCAAGACCTTCTGCGACACGTTCTCCAAGCCGATGGAAAAGCACGACTTCGTCTCAACCGGCCCAGCCATCTTCGTCCGATTTGAAAGCAAGACCGGAAGTTATTCTGGGTGGGTATCATTTTCAATTTTTGCGAATCGTTCTTGTAGATCTAGGCAACGAGAAGTCATGGGTCGTCCGTGAACGGCGTCAAGTATCCAAAGGGAGGAGAAGGGGACTTTGCAGGGGCGTTGAAGGGATGAAGGGAAGAGGGACTGAAACCGAACCTTGTAGGGCAGACTGAAATGGGAGTGAAGCTGTGAGGCGCCCATTTTTGGAAAAGTTTGATCAGATGGCTCCGAGTCCCGATTTTTTTTTTTTTTTTTTTTTTTTTTTTTTTTTTTTTTTTTTTTTTTTAAGTAATGCGAGAGATGTTATTCAAATCTAGTAAAATATATGAAGCAAAGATCGCTGCTGCCTGACATGCACTTAGCATGAGCAAAGGGTTAAAAAATCGGGAAAGAGTCTGGCGTCACTTCTAGATGACGTCTCGGAGTAGATATAGAAAATTAAATTCCAAAAGGCTCAAATGAATTTCACAAAATTTGAAATTTATGAATTTTTTTCGGAATTCTTAATTGAACCTGTGGAGATCCATAAGCATTTCAAATGGTATTTCTGTTGATGCGGTAGTATTATGATACCCTCCTGAGGTGCTATACACGAAGGGGGGGGGGGCACAAATGGGAGTTCAGAGAGAGAAGCCCCAGCCTAACCTCTAAACCAAATGAGAACGTTCCGACAGTATGAATGTTTTTGGCTGGGGGTGAAAATTTTCAAAATCTAAAATCACTGTTTCTAGAAGTTTCTTGGCCTTCTGAATGCATCCTCAAAAGTTTCAAAAAATTTCTTGAAATTTCACGCGATTAAATTTTATGAAATTTTCTATCTCTGTCTCAAAATATGGGTTATGTAATTTGGATGCTTTCAGAGCCAGACGGATATGGCTACTTCTTTAGTGCTGAAATGAAGATGGAAGTCCTTCTGTAGCAGTCCATTACTCCATAAGCGTTGAAATTTATTATACCTGAATTGACCGTTTTTTTTCGTTTACCTGATTTGACTCTTGACCTCCAATATCTTCAAATAGTCATCTTCCAGTCAAAGTATTACAAGCGCCATGTGACGTTTCAAAATTTCCGCCGCCATTTCATTATTTTTACAGTGGAAGTCTTCAACGAAACTGTCCGAAAAATTCACAGAATTTCCTGTGTGCTGCTGATAAAATTCAGTGAAATTTTCAAACAGATTCAATCAACAATTTCTCTGTGATAAAATAAAATGGTGGGGAAATATTTAAACGTCGCATGGCGCTTGTGATATTTTGGCCAAAGGGTGACGAAATCTCTTCCCTCGCAAAGAGTGATTTCCAGAATCTGATGGATTTTATCACATTCTTTTGGAATTTTCAGCTCTTCTCTGTACTACTGGGCGCACTACGACTTCTTCAACAACACGCGCTTCGGGGTGCCGACGGGGAGCAGCGTCTGTGACGAGGAGTTTGTCAGTTGGAAGACGAGCAAGGGAAGCCTCCGCTCGCCGCTCAACACGCTCGTCTACAAGCAGGCCCCGGACGCCACCGTAGCCGAGGCCATCAAGTGCCGATACAAGTTCCTCACCGACCGGAGACTTTACGCCCGCATCCTCCTTACTGTCAATTCCATCGGTTTTAAGGTAAAAAATCAATCACACGGAGAAAAAATCTTCGTGCGTGGGACCCGAAGTTTAGGTCATATGGATCTCTGAAGTTTTCAGATTGAGCATCTGAACACTTAAGGTCCAGCTGCTGAGGTTTGGATCATACATCTTCTGAAACTTCAGTTCTTACACCTGAAGTACTTCGGTTTCCACAGCCAGAAAACTTCGGTTCTTACATCTAAAGCACTTCAGATGTAAGCACTGAAGTTTCAGATGTATGATCCGTGCCTCGACAGCAAGACCTAAAGTGTCCAGATGCTCAATCTGAAAACTTCAGAGATCCATATGACCTAAACTTCGGGTCCCACGCACGAGGTTTTTTTTCTCCGTGTGGGTTATTAATATGAATGTTCGATTACATACATGCATACATCGAATAATCGCGCCAAACGCAGCGAGGCCGGCGTTAAACGTATATTAGCGCCTGCAAGAGTGGAGAAATACTTCGCGCATTGCGTCAAACAGTGCGGTCGGCGTTAGCGCCTACAAGGCTGCATGAATACTTCTCGCCTTGCGCCAAACGCAGTGCAGTCGGTCAGCTGGAAAGGAACGCATATTAGCGCTTACAAGACTGCATAAATGCTGTCGGACTGCGTGCCATCATTCTTGACTTTCTGATCCAGTTTTTATCATAATTAAAGGGAAAATATGTATCCCCATTGTAACGAATCAAAAATTAATTTAATTTTTTACAAGAGAACGTTTGTGCTGATTCCTTTAAACAATTGGCCTCGTAATATGCAGGAAGAGACACTCAAATTTGCTCAAAAATCCGCAAAAACGTTTTCGTGTAAAAAATACAACTAATTGAATTCGGCAACAGATGATAAGGGATTGGTTCTCTTCTGTTTAACGCGGGCCAAATCTAGCCTTCACATGGAACATTTCCGCCGAAATTCACTGGGGAAGAAACACATTGGATCTAGAGTCCAGACTCTTAAAAACATCGACAAGAAAAAATACTCTTGATTCAATCAGATTTAAGCTTAAATCAAGAACCAAGCCTCTCAATTTGAGCGGAATTCCTTTTGATTTGAGCTTGAATCAAGAGTATTTTTTCTTGTCAATGTTTTCAAGAGTCTGGACTCTAGATTCAATGTGTTTTTTTTTCCAGTGTTTATTTGGAAATAATGCGAAGTAATGATTTTAGGACTATGACTTTCTACACTTCACCCTCCATTTGGGTGGGAATTGGTTCGAAATTTGACCGTCCATCGAGGTCTTAAGGACTAGAAAATCGGTTTTAGACGATTTTTAATGAATATTGTGTTTGGTTTCACAGGAGCACCCGTTCAACAACGCGCCGTGCATGAGCTGCTGGGAGGACAAGCTGGACAAACTAGTGATCTGGGAGCCGGCCTCAATGCGCAACTCCTCGGCGACACCTCGGACCGGCCTCGGGGATGGCAAGTGCATCTGCCGCACCCCCAACACGATCCGTCTCAAGACCGGGCCCGGCCATCCACCTTCTCGACCCATCATGACGTTGATCTCCACGACTGAGCAACTGTACCTTGAGATGGCCGTTGAGGCCTCTCACGCCGCCTCCAGCTACTTCAAGTACGACGCGCCCCTCTTCGAGGCCAGCTATGAATTCGTTCATGGACCACTGTGCGGGCCTACGCTTTTACCCATGGCCGAAGCTGGTAGGTTCCCATATATCTATTACACGGTTATAGGACATTTCGTCAACGATTTTTTGTTCGCGCACCTGTTTTTTCCAATAATTTTACGTCCACGCGTTTTTTCGGCACGGGAGTTTTGGTCCACGTGCCAGTTGAGACCCAAAGTTAATTAGCCCACATGTAAATACAAACAATTGCTCACGACGTTTTTGGATGAAAATGTAAAATGTCTTAGAAGAATGAGGGTTTGCTTGTTTTTTTGTTTTTTTTTTGTTTTGTCTGTTTGGTCCAACGGAGAATAATATATAGTTGAGAGTTTGGGGAAAAATGGGGGAGCGTCAATATTCCATGAGACAAAATTCACTAAAACTCTCTACACCTCTTTGGTGTAACAGGACTTATATCTTTCAAGATTTTCCCACCTTGTTATACCTGAACCGGATAGACCTCTATATTTGCCTCAGCTGCTCTTAGATTTTTCCAGTGTACGATAAGTATCTTGATTTATTTTGCGAGGAAAGATCTGTGCTTTTAAAAGATGCTTGTCATTCTTAATACGTTCAATTTCGTATAATACTGTGCAACACCTCTGTTGTGAAATAGTTACTTCAGACGCCGCCGCACGGCGGGCGGGCGGCCAGCGCGAAACGCGCATTGGCGCCTACAAACCTAAGTGGATACTGCAAGCATTGTGCAATGTATAAAGTATCCACTTAGGTTTGTAGGCGCCAGTGAGCCTCTCGCGCTGGCAGCACGCCGCTCCGCTCTGTTATGCTTTAATATTTATACTCGCGTAGTCAGTGTTTTTTAACTCATGATTTTAAAATGTTTGCACACGCTGCATTGATTATTCTCATTTAAATTCATGGGAAAAAATATGTATAAATTTATCAAAGGAGAGTAATAATATAATGTGTATTTTTTAAAGATTGGTGGTTCCGTGTCAAATTTAATGATTTCCAAAGCACTTTAATTTTTTCTTTTACATTTTGTGGTTTTATTGTGCTGGGCGCATCGTGTTCTACGAGTCATTGCCCTTCATAAAAATGTATTAGCAAGTCAAAAAGCGTTCATGGTTTAGTGACCCATTTAATATCAACACACAATTTGTAGTTCATGTGGATTTGGGTGAAAGGTGGTTTATTGATTCACTGTGGCTGTTTCAGGGGAAATCAACTACCCGAACTTCGAGGCGCTGGGCTACACGCGGCTGCCGCGGGCGGTGCACTGTATCTGGGAGCTCCGGGTGACCCCCGGGCGAGACGTGTGGCTTCACGCTGAAAAGATCTCCTTCATCACCAAAGACTGCCGCGATGGGCACCTGGCCGTCTACCTGCCCTCGAACCCGGACCGGCCGTTCATCTCCGTCTGCGGCCACAACGTGAGCGCCCTCCAGGAGATGCCCGCCTTCGGGGAGGCCCACCTCACCCCCTCGGCCGAGGCCACCGTCGGCCACATCCCACCGCAGACCGTCCAGATCCAATTCGTCGGACCCACCACCCCCGCACACACGGCCATCAAGATCTACTGGACGGAATCATTCAGGTGAGCCGATTGGACGGATAAAATGGAAACGGCACTGGTAAAAAAACCTCTTGGTTCAAGAGTGCAGTTTCTTGTCGCCGGATTTAAGAGTCTGGACTCTTGTTTCAAGCGGATTTTGAATTGAATCAATGCAAAATCCGCTTGAAACAAGAGTTCAAGACTCTTAAATCCGGCGACAAGAAACTGCACTCTTAAGTCAGTACACCGCGGCATTGGTCCAAGAGGTTTTATTTACTAGTGGGGTATATAGATGGCCACAGTGCGAAACCACTTATCTCCGTTTGTGATGTTGCAGACCTCCAATTTTATTTTCTCTTTTAAAAATTAGTCGATGTAATTTCTTGAAAACTTCCTTTAGTTTTTTTTTCTGTCAGCAGAATATTTAGGATGTATGTATAGTTGAGAGTTGACTTGTTTTCATTCAATAAAATGAAAAAAAGTGGAAATTTTGAAACACTGCAATGGAGGTAATTGGTTTTGCACTTTGACCGTCGATACGGAAAATGGACTGGCTCGTGCGTGTGATTGGCTCCTTCAACTTGTGCATCACAGGCCTGCATGGAAAGCTTGTATCCATGCACAAGCTCTATTAGTGTGATTAAAGTCAACGCATGGATACAACTATTCGTGCTCGAGGGATGTCCGTATTGCATGCACACAAAATTGCAGGCGCTCTGGCTTTTGTGATCGCTAGGTCTGGGTGCAAGGTACAACTATTTGCGCTTGAAAGATGTCTGCGTTACATTTATGACGTCGATCATAGTAGACCATTTGATGACTGGTGGTCATCATGCAACAATCTCCTTTAATAAAGAATGTCTAATTTTGATCAAAATATGGAGGACCACCACTCATTTTGTCGCATGGAACCTTTGTGCTAAGTTTTCATTTCAATTGGTTTCGAAATTTGATTGTCTGTCGAGGTATTTAACATCGAAATTCTGGTGAGCCTCGTAATATTCCCATAACAGTGCGAAATAGTCCCATTTGTGAACAAATTAACGGCGATATTTTGCGGAATGTAAATTTGCAATAACTGTGCACAGATGTTCCGGATAAAAAATAATTTTTGGAATTTTATGCAGCCACAAACATCTTTCTTTTGTAGAAATTACATTTTAAGGCCTTTTCCACGGGGAAATTCATGGGATTTGTCCGCCCAAGTTCGAACTGTAGAAATGAAACGTCTGGGATTTTCTCCACTGAAAAAATGGTATGCTGTTTTAGCACCTAGGATGTCAAAAATGTGTCTGGTGATCCTATGATGCTGCCTTGATTGCCCACGCAGTTGAATCAGCATTCACAGGATGTAACGAGGGCAGCAATGACAGCATCTTGGAATCAACAGACACATTTTTGTCATCTTAGGTGCTAAAACAGCATATTATTTTTTTCAGTGTCCCCTTAAAGAAAACAACAACATTTTTTCTCTTCACTGAAGTGCTCTTAGGACGCCACAAGGACTCTACTTGGTATTGGAATTAATATGACTAACTCAATATTTTTCCCAACTTCACAAGTTCGATTTTTCCCTGGGACAAATTCCATGAGACATCCCGTGAATAAAAGACCTTGGACGGCCGAATTCATTCTGCAACGCAAGCCAAATGGATTACATTTTGCAATAAGGAACCACTATTTTTGGCCCATTTTAGAAACAACATACATGCCATTGGTGTCCCTATGTAGATACGTGATTTTATGGGAGAGCCAGAAATTGTAGTTCCGAATAGCAAAATGTAGTCCAAATGATCACGCCATTACATCGCTGAGCAACAAGGGAGCCTACACAATCAAGTCGTTTCACTTGCATGCTTCTATCTAAAATTATATAGAAAAATATGTAAATAAAGAGAGGAAAATTAGGCGGATTTTATTTTATGTTTTATCATTTGAAATGACAATAATTCCATCAAACTATACAACAACTTCAAATTCATGTTGAAAACTAACGACATATGTTTGATTTGAAAAATCTCGTCAATCACAGTGCGGCCGGCGCGAGGCTGGCGCGCACGGCACGGCACGTAGCGCCTTACAAGGCCCTAGGATACTTCATACTTCATACCGCACCGCACCGATACGCGCAACGCATATAGTAGCGCCTTACAACTCTGCAGGATACTTCATGCATTGCACGTATATCTCGAGTGCACGCTCAGGTGGTTGAAAAGTCGTATTTTCTTGGTGACAATATTTCGAGCCTTCTCCATAGTGTACATTATTTCCGAATAATGCACACCGCGCGCGAGCTTGCAATACTAGGATCCCAGAATTTTAATGATTTTGCAATTCTGTATGTTTTCCAGTAAAAATATAATTTACGAGTGGAAATTTTTTTAGTTAGAATGCAGTTACGTTCTATCGTCTAGAAAGCGTCAAACTTGGCTAACTTCCAGGGAGAGATAGGGTACATTTTCTTATCACCAATGTGGCAAAATATCTAAGAAGATATTCTTGGTATCACATTCACACAAAAATTAACTCTAGCAAGCTGACCTAATTCGGCAATTTTTGCAAAATAACCTAGGCACGTCTATGGCTAATATCGAAAAATTATGGGGGAGGGAGGAGCTGCTCGTCGGCTCTCTAATTGACTGAGTCAAACTCTTGTGATGAAAATGTCATACGATATTCGGACCGCGTTAAACAGAAAGGAACCAAGCCACATCAGCTATTGCCAAATTTGATTGGCCAATTTAATGTCTTACATGAAAACAGTTGTGCGGATTTTCGTGCATATTTCAGTGAATTTTCTCCATAGTGCGAAGCAAATTCCTTAACGTTTTCAAAGGGATCCTCACAAACTTTTTCTCGTAAAATATTAAATTGCCCAGTTAAAATTGGCAATAGCTTATGTGGCTTGGTTCCTTTCTGTTAAACGCGGTCCATTAAAGAGACGAAAATTTTGAGATCAAGTGATAACAGTAAGAGGAACTTAGATAATCCTATACTAATTGAAAAGAATGCTTACAAAGATTACTTATCAATGCAAGACTCAAGTTTTTGCCTATTTATTTTATTTTGTAAAAGAGAAACCAAGTGGATCACATTATCCAATTAGGAACCGCTGTTTCTGGCCCATTTTAAAAACAACATACATGCCCTTGGTTTTCCTTTACAGATATGTGGTTTTATGGGAGACCCAAAGATAATGGCTCCTTCAGTGGCGTGCGGTCCGGATAAGCAAGGCAAGCACTGCTTGCCCAAAGATTTCAAGAGAAAGAAGAAAATTACACCTTTTACATGTTTTACATTTTGGCAAATACAATTTATAAGGTGTTCAGTAAGTAAATTGCATTAAAAACAGAAAGAGAAAGAGACAGAAATACGTATAGAGCCACGAAAATAGGAAAGCGGCAGGGAGGATGGAGGTGGCGCAGCGCGCTGCGCGGCCTGAACACGGGCCAACTCATGCGCTGGAGAGTCGCTTGCGATCAGCTGAGCGGAGCGCCACTGCTCAGCGGCGGAATCAAGGCGGGCGGGTGGAGCGGTACGTTCCGAGTCCGAGCCCTTCGCTGCGTGATCGCAGCTCGCTTCTCTTGGCCATCTCTTGGCCCGTCCACCGCAGCGCGCTGCTTCTGCCTCCGATGCGCTATCTTGTTTCCTCTTTCCGTCGCGGTTGTAAGTGCTCCTCCGGAGCAAATGCCCTTAAATTCTATAAAATGTCGCTCACTTGGATCTATTGGTGATGAATTAGACAATTCACAATCATGTTTTAAACGCAGAAAGCTGTTTTTGGGGGGAATTTTAAGTAACTCAAAAAATTCTAAATGACATAGAATAAAGACTATGATACCTCAAATAAGTGGCATGGCAAAATTAGCAGTGGCGTGGCGTGCTTTGCGATTTATCGATTTTTACGCCATTTAAACGAATGGAAAAGGATCGATAAACAGGGTGTTCGCAGCGAACACCTTAATAATCGATTCTTTACCATAGGTTTAAATTACATATCAATCGATATATCGCAATTCACGCCACGCCACTGAAAATTAGGATTTAAGAGCATGGAGCCGTCCTCCAATGCTCAATAACATTCGAAACAAGTTGAGTAAACGAAATCATAAGTAAGAGAGAAAGAAATGAAACCACAGTTTTTCAAAACGTTCCATCAGATTTCATCCGCAAAACAGAGCAAATAGAGTAAAATTTTAAGAATTTTCTAGGGAGGCTCCCTGAGGAGGGGAAAGAGGCTACGTTAACCCCCCCTCCCCCCCTGGATGGCGAACGCTAGAGCTTGCCCTGTCACTAAACCCACCGCACGCCACTGGGCTCCTTATTGCAAAATGTAATCCAAGTGATAGCATGCAACTTAATTGAATCGGTGAGAACGAAAACACACTAACTCGGTAATTATAAAGTCCTCAATTTTCACGAAGGACAGTCAATTTTCATAAAGGTCATTGAAGTTATAGCGAAACTGTTCCAACTTGGACCTTTAAAGTGTCCTTAAGTACTTGTCTTTCGGCATTAAACATTTTCTTTTTTGACTTACTTCTTCACCTACTATGCAGTTTTGTGTGTGTCCTCATTACTTTCATTTTTCCGAGTTGGTGTGTTTTCGTTCTCACTGATACAATTAAGTTAGGATTAGAAGACAAGAACTGAATCGTGTGTGGAAACTTTATGAATGGATTCTTGTTGCAGGCTGCCCCGGAACCCGGATGGTTCGGTGATGACCTCTCGGTTGATCGACGACTCGCCGGCGGCGGAGGGCACCGTGGAGGGCTGCGCCTTCGAGTGCCCGTACACCTCCTACTTCTGCATCCCCAAGCGGCTCGTCTGCGACGGGGCAGTCAACTGCCCGCCGGCGCCACCGGGGAGTGGCACCAACGCCACGTGGTCGGCCGACGAGGACCCGCAGCTCTGCGCCACCAAGACCTCCACCCAGCTCGATTACTACAAACTCGGGGTCCGCGCCGGCTCCGGCCTCCTCCTCACCCTCGCCCTCCTCTGCGTCATCCAGAGGTACTTCTGTTGCTGCTGCTCTTGCTGCTGCTGCTCCAAGAGACGACGAAAGGAGCTCGCCTATTAGACTTTCTCCTGTACGAGAATAAATTTAGAAGGATTAGCATGATACAGAGGACTGCTTGTTGAAATTGGTAGACGAAGGGATGAACAAAGAAGGAATAAAGAATAAGGAGGGATCAGGGACAAGAGACCCTCCACTGGCCCCTCGGTGACAGGTGGAAGCTTTTACTTTCGGGGATTCAACAATCCCTTATGGACTATTATACAGGAGCAACTATAATCACTCTTATTTCGGCTGTTGACCTACCTACATGGTGGATGATAAGTTTCGGGTGACGTCATAAGCCAAAGTTTCTCAACATTCGGTTTGTTTGCAAAACGAAACTGCCAACGCGTTGTTAAACATCAACCATGTAAATAAGTCAACAGTAGAATACTGAAGTCCCGAAAGTAAAAGCTTCCACCATCGCCAAGACACCAGTGGAGGGTCTCTTGTCTCTGGGAGGGATCCTATTGATGGAAGGGGGTGGTTAGATTAGGTTTTTTTTAGTGTTTTTATCAATCTTCGTAACAGAGTTTTCACACAAAAATTGATTTTAAAAAAACGAAAATTTAATAAAATTTGGACACAAAAAAGGACGAGTAAAAACTTGATAACAATTATAAATTGCATAAAATAAGTATCAATATTTTGTTGCGGATAAAATCCTTTGGAAAAATGTCAATTTTGTATAGAAATTATCAATTTATTACTTAATTATCCAATTAAAAATATTTTACGTTTTACTGAGCTTGGATAGGTATGAAAATATGAATTTCTTTGCCTAGGAGTCATAGAATTTTTTATATTTTTGGAAAACTAGTCTTTAAAAATTAACATAGCATGTGCGAATTCAGTGATAAAGTTACTACTGCCGATACATTTTAAGACTGAGCAGCTCATGTCATGCCAGTAAAAGTAGGACATCAATAAATTTCGTTAGCTTTTTTATAGCCTTCTGCCAACATCTATTCTTTCTGGGCACAATGAAGAGGAATGCAGTAGCTCATTCACCTAATGAACAGTTATGAATTAGTAAAATTGCTCAAAAATGTTTGGTACTCCTTGAGAGTATTTTATGAATGGTTTTGTGTTTTAAAGTTCCATATTATCGATTATTTTTTTTATTTTTACTTTGTTCTCTTTCAATTATGATTTCTTTAATTTTTCTCATTCTCTTACATCTGTATGAACAATTCTTCATGACGATATGTTTTTTTGATAAGTTTTATACAAACTTCAAAGCAACAACGAATCACAATACTTTAAGAAACTTTAAGCAATTATATTCAACTCTCAATTTTTTTGAAGTTACCAAAATTTCATGAGATATTTAGTAAAATAAGATTCATTGTTTTATTGAGAAGCGTTTTAAAATTCACGTTATGCGAAAATGTTGGTGCGATATGAATAAAAGACTATGCATTTTAAAAATGTCGCATGACACATGATGTAAAATTTTCATTTCCTCCTCGATAATTGTGGCATTTCCGTTTATACACTAATTCTGTGGGCTATCATGGGAGAAAAAATGAACACGCAGTTTCAATGCAGCAACTACGGAGGGCGTAATAGCGAATGGTTCAATTGTATTGTTATGAAGGCTGAGTAAAATGATTGCAGCTTTTAAGTAAAAACAGAAGGCAAACGTTGACCTTCTTTTTTTTCATGATACGTTAGCAATTTTTAAACACTTTTTCTTATTTTTAAGAACCTGAAAGAAAGTCATTTTAATATAGCCTAACCATTAGGGCTAGGTATATGTCATAATTTCCCAGAAGTTCGCTGTTTGTTGGTGTTTAAAAATGCATTTCGCGAAAAGTTTTTGCTATTACACTCTTTTTAAAATGAATTTTAAGGCATGTATTTACAGCCTTTTTCCAAGCTGAAGATGCGACTCAGCTTTATTTAGTTAAGTTGTAAAACAATTATATCCAGCGCACTCCAATTACACTATAAAACCTTTATGTTACACTTTACACAATCTAAATCGAACGTAACTCTGCAGAAGGAATCTATTTATTTGAAGAGGTTTGATTCAACTCGCATAGATACGCGTGTGCAGAAGCAGATAGCAGATACATGTATGCCACACCAAAAATAATGTCATTTACGTTGTAAGTCAAAACTCGGTTTGTAAACGGATGTTTTCTGCCTAAAGCTGTCCACGTGACAACTTAGTTTGTTCCCCTTAGACAGTCATTATCCTGAGAACAAAAATGATTACAAAGTGTTACATGTAAAATTTGTCTTCCTGTGTATTATTTTGTAAGTTTTGTTAGACATTTGAATTATTTAAGTTTTCAAATTTCGTAGGATTGTGCTCTTGTATAGGTGTTAGTATTTAGTACTTGTTGTACATTTTTAATTGTTTCGCTTCAATAAATAATTGTCATAAAATTTCTTTTCTTTTTAAGTGTGCGCGAGATTCTAAATTTCAAGAGAACGTAGGCGACATATTCATGTATAAATGGGCATACCATCCATCATTTTAACTTTTTTGTCTCAGAGGATTTAAAACTATCCAGAAGTTAAAAATTCCATATTCTTCTATTTTAGAGATGTCTTGAAGACGAAAAAGGGGTTTTTAAATGAAAGCACTCATCCAATTTTATATGTATATGATTCAATATTTTCTTAACAGAGTTGTATTCATGGCAGAAACTTACCCGATGAGAAGTGAGAAAATAAAAGTCAAGGAATAGAAAAAAAAATGTGGCGTTGAAGATTTCATTCGGCCTATATTTTAAACTACTAAAAGCTTATGTATCGTGGCTATCAGACTTTTATTTGCTCAGAATCACACTTTTTGAAGAGCAATCAAGTTTCATGACAGATTCTGAGAAAGTCTCCTCTGCGCATATAGGAATGCAATTTTTTGCATTAAACTCTGAAGGGTTTTCCATAGTATTGACGTCAAGAGAAATCCATTAAATTATTGCTCATACCAACTAATAGCAAAAAGTAATGTTGTAAAGGTTCTAGTAAAATGAACATTTTCGATGAGAAAAAATATCGTTGGTTTCCTGAAATTGAAAATCCCCGATTCGATATTGATACACCAAACTAAGCCCATACCTACTACCAGGAAGTACGATTGAAATTTCAAATTAAGAATAAACTATTTAAATTGATTTGATGAATTTTAATGAGTTTAAATGCGACATGTCCCATTAAAATGAGTATAAAAAAATAAAATAAAAAAGTATACATCATTAGTGAAATACGTGATTAGGCAGTTCATTATTCAAAATATCCCCTAATAAATCATCCATTTTTAAAGATTTTTGAAGAATCTTCCATCATTAATACCTCCCAAAGCCGCGTCGTTTTGCCCTACATTAGGTAGCTCAATGATAAAAGAGCTTCCAAATATTCCACTTGAATACGTATTTCAAAAACCGGGTGATTCTTTTTTACAACAGGATATGTAGAAAATTTGGTACACGGACCTTATGTCCACTTTTTTTAAGTCCACAGACTTTACGTCCACAATTTTTCGTCCACAGTTCTAACGCCCACACTATTGTTAAGTCCATTACTTAAACGTCCACTAAGGTAAGTCCACAAATGTAAAGTCCACTAAAATCAAATTCAAGCGTCATATTTTAGTCCGTGTGTAAAATTATATTGGCAATATCGAAATGAGAAAATTAAGAGAAAATGAGGTGTTGTTATCGTAACTCATATTCTAAATGAAATGTCAATTTCTTCTTTTGATTCGTCTTTTCAAATTTTCTTTGGTAAATACTTGGTTTCATTTCTATCCTTGAAATTTCCGATATAAAATATGCCTTAAATGTACATTCTTTTTTTTAATGAAATTGATTTCTTCATTTTAGAAACATTTACATTTTTCAAACGTGGTAAATATTTGTAAAACCATTTCCAAGCAATGGCATAGATATGAATCTCAATGAGCCGTAGTTGTGATGAAAGAAACTATACAAAAATTAATAAAAGAGGAAAAAAACTAATTTCTTGTTTTAAACTTATTTGTACATCGACCTCCTTGAGTCAAATGCGTTCAATTTTGAGCGTTTGGTTGCGCTTACAACACGCTGCAGCACAGTAAAAGCCCAAAACATAAAAGAATAAATTTGAATGCTTTGGAAATCATTAACTTTGACACGGAACGAATCTTATATTTACAAAAAACATATTATATATTAATCAATGCAGAGAGTGCTAACATTTCAAAATCATGAGTTGAAAAACGCTGACTCCGCGAGTTTAAATATTAAAGCCTAACACAGAGCGGAGCGTCTTGTTAGCAGCGCAGAACGCGCACTGGCGCCTACAAACCTAACGCGATACTTCACGCATTACGCAACGCGTGAAGTATCCCGTTAGGTTTGTAGGCGCCTATGCGCGTGTCACGCTGGTTACCTGCCGCGCCGCAACGCTTTAAGCAACTATTTCGCGTCAGAGGCGTTGCACAATATCCTACAAGATTGAAGGCGCACAAAATAACTAGTTAAAGAGGACATTCAATTTTGACTGCATCTGTTACTGAAAAATGTTTAATTCGGCATTGGAGCGTTTCCTAGGCCCCCGCATTGGTTTTCATCTTATCATATCCGTACCGACACATGAACATATCGACGGTGAAACTACCAAACCACGTATCTCGTTTGCGGTGTTTAAAAATCTACGCTCGCATTTTATTTTTTTGAAGTAGACCAAATCAATATAATTCCTTGAAATTTTCACAGAAAACTCTCCGCACGAAGAGGAAAAATCACAGAAATTTTCAAGACTGGACGTTAAGTAGTTTTTCATTTAAAAAATGAAGTATGACAGGAAGTCTGCGACGTCGCAAACCGAGATACGTGGTTTGGTAGTTTCACCGTCGATATGTTTTTATCTGCTATACCCTGAGACGCTGAATGTCTTAAAATTACACTAACTAACTAACTAACTAACTCTTTCATGACTTGATTCATGAATGAAATGTTTTTAAAAATGAAGGTATAGTAGTGGTATGCATTTATTTTTGAGGTGGTTCCTGTCATTTAAATGAGAAGAAAAAAATGTGGACATAACATGTCCACACTTTGGACAATTTTGGACATATTCATGGTTGGACATGTGGACTTAATAAAGACTGGACTTAACGTTTAGTGGGCATAAATAGCGGTGGACATTTATTTAATGGACGAAAGGTAGGTGGACATGAGGTCCTGGAAGCGAAAATTTTGTTGGTTACATTCCCATTTCCCAGTAAAACTGAGAACCGATATTATAGTTTAAAGTTACACGTATAAGTCTTAGACAAATGATGCTGAATTAATTTCACTTGAAAATTACACTTTCAATTAATAATAGTTTTGTGAAGAACATTAAGAGCGTACTTTGCCTCGCAAAACCTAACGATGAAGGGTAAACTGTTCCCGAGTTACAAAAGGACCCCAACAAGTCAGCCACTTTCTATCTAAATTACGTTTTTGCCCATATTTATTTTAAGAAAAAAATGAGGAAATAAAAAAGAATAATAAAATCAACAACAATACACAATAGCAAAATGAAGATTTGCTAAGAAACGATCTCGCATTGGAGCGCCTTCATTTTTCATGATACTCTACGCATTGTCACAGAGTTAGTTTAGTTGCATGTCCGATCCAAACCCAACCAAGGACCAAGAGGTTACAGATTTTGCTGCAAGCTCCTCTGAGTGTGCCTGTTCTTTTTCCTTACTTTCTGAATTGTATACTTTTCTAACCATTCACTTGTGGCTTGGAAATAATTACCCATTATTGCTAACTACCTGCGATTGCCTGCATTATTTTTATAGAAATTCTCTTCCAATTAATAAAAATTGTTTTCACATCGGAAATCGAGTGTAACTAAATTGTAGGTCTAAGGTATGTTCCGTTATTTTGACTAAGAACGTTCAATTTGCTGCAAATATCATTATTCTCATTTTATCCGTCAATAACTTGGTTTCCTTCTCCTGAAAAAAAGAGAATCAAATCAATCTAAAAACGGAATTAAGTGGACGGTTGGCTCCTTCTCAGACCGTCTATTTCTGGAATCAATTTTGATTAAGGAGCAAAATTTGCAATGTTACTTTTACAATTAGTAAGTTTTTTTAATTTCTTGTTTAATTTTCTAAATATACTTACGCCCTGATGAATGCAAATATGTTTCATTGTGTCATTGATCTGTTCCAAAGAATCGAAGAAGCCCATGACCATTCTGCAACACTGTTCAATATACATAAGAAAATATTTTAATCGTCGATAACAGCCACTTTAAAACATGTTTTTACTTTACCGTCACGACTAATTTTAGATTTGTCGCAAAGGGAGTGGTGGAAAAGGGGAGAGGGAGGAAGGTAAAATATAAAATGGCTATACCTTCGTACTTAAATGTACTTCAGGAAAAAATTGAGGTACAAAAAACATTTTACGTCAGAGGAGCGTAGTGTAGCAGAGAAAGAGAGAATAGGGGGAAAAAGAAAAGAAAGCGAAGGAAAAGAAATAGGTTCTGAAACATATTATCACAAGATCGCGCATTTTGGCCATTATATTCGTCTATTCTCCACGTGAAAACTGGAGGTTTCGAACAAGCCCACCAATGTAATTGTTGATCGTTGCCTTTCAAACAACGTCGGGTTTGAAGGTAATAATTGATGCAATCGAGACACATTATAGATAAGATCTTGAGATTTTAAAATAATTGTATGCACATTCGGCCGAGAAATTGAATAATCAGTGGGAGGTCTCTACCTGCCTTCACTAGTTTGTACGTAGGAAAGTACCCATTAGAATTCAAAATGGAGCTTTTTCATTCATTGTAATTTTTTACTTGGTCCTTGACTTTCTTTAGTGATGACAACTGTCCGATCTCCCCGTTAAAACCGTTAGGTTTTCTTAAATCGTTCCAGATGATCTGATATCAAAAACTACGGGTCGAAAGGGGGGGGGGAGGGAAAAAGTAACGAGATCATTGTAGCATTTTCAAGAGTTAAAAACATGTTTTCTTGGAAATTGCTTTACTGACTGTGGCAGGTGTCACCGTGCCGACTTCAGCCTTCTAAGATCTCCTGTTAGGACAGTTAGCTTTTATAAAAATTTATTCACACCAACATAGGTTCTCAAAAGGCCCCCATTATTTGGAACTTCCTCGTCGGTGATAAAAACTACTAAAAAAGAAAAGAAAAAAGGTCCAAACTGCCCCTGGGAATAATTTTTCCTTGATCGAGCAAGAGGTTACAAAGGGTTAAAATTGTAAGAAGTGGCTTAAAATTACTCTCGGTTTAACCCCTGTGTGAGAAAAGTTTTTACAAAAAACCCTTGTGCCCTTCAAAATGGTGGAATGTACCTAATTACTTTTGGGTCCCTGGGGGTAATTTGACAGAAAATGGCCAAGTTTTTCCCCATTGCCACGAATTTGAGAATATGGATGGAAATTCATCTCAGAACTGCCCCAAATGAACCAACTTTGGATTAATTTGACAGGATTAATCCTACTCTGAGGTTTTCATAAGTTTCTCTCCTTATACAAATCCTAGTCAATTGAGTTGGTGATAAGAAAAAGTGAATCACTTTCCTTAAAACGCATGAGAAAAATAAGTATGAGACTTTTGAATCATCGCCTCTTGAGTGGGATTCTTTCGGGATCAAAGGACCGCTGTCTCGGATTAAAAGGTTGCCAAATCGGCTCGGGGATATTTGAAGATTTTTCCAAGCAAGACACGGTTTATCACCGCTTTTCAGGCGAAAGGACGTAACTAAATTTCAACTTAGAAAAATCTCCACTCGTGAATTGAACTTTTACGAGGAAACCGTGGAAAATTTCTCGCTAAAAATTTTATTGAAGTTCCCTTGCGTTACACTATTTAATCAGCAAAATTATGGTCAGAAATATCACTATCATATTCTTGTAAAAACTTGGATTGTTTTGTCAATTTTGCAACGTTGGTAGAGAGTTACGTTCCTTCGTCGGCGAAACAACGATGTAATATGGACGTATTTCCACCAAACGGAACTATGTGCATTACGATATGAGCCCTGAGACCCATAAGCATATGCGTATAACAGAGCTCACGTGATAATGCACATAGTTCCATTTGATAGAAATACGTCCATATGACAAGATGAGCTATATTGCGGCACCGGGACGCTAATAAATCAAAAGCTCAATATCTTTAGTTTTGAAAAGGGACTACAAGTGACCTGATTTCACGTGGGATTGGCGTGATCGCCGAGGAATTTCATCTCGCTCTCTAGTTAGCTGAGGGCTTGGTGGCACGCGCCCTTTTGAAGTCCTATACTTATCCTATCTTCCTACTGCTTTTATGGGAGTGTGATTCATATTCTCTTATCGCAGAATTATAAAATTGACCATTCATATGCAAGAAGCACCTGTCTGTGTTTTTGACCTCGTCAACCAGTGCTGAGCTCTGCAGGTGCTGTTTGACGAGAGGAGACGCCGTAAGAAAGCTGTGCTGATTTAATGTGTTAATAGTACATTTTGGAAAAGAGGTTTTAATATAGGAAGTGCGTGATGTTTCTTGAAATTTCTCGGGAAGTCTTTGGTACACCAATTTTTACACGTACAACCCATGAAGAATTGAACGATAGGAATACGATCATGAAGGCTGAGGTTGAAGGAAAAAAACAAGCAAGTCAAAAGGGTAAGAAACAGTGGCTTTACACTTTGATTACGTGCACAACATGCCACTTCCCTGCATTCCTATTTGAGTCATATTTCATTCACGACAAGAAAAAAAGACAAAAACTGGGGACATCTCTAAAATTGCCTCTCCTCTCAACCTTTAAAAATAGCTTAGGAACCAACCGATCGTTTCATAGGTATTTTAACATTTTAGCCATGTCTCTCACTGTTTTCAGTTTTCTTCACCGCGAGTCATTATATTGGGCTGCTACTAGAAATGTTTACCTCAATTTTTGTGGACATTTTATGGAAACACGTGAGCATATATCGATAGACAAAGTCGAAAAATGTGCACTTCTATTGCAGCTTGAATCTCCGATTTTTTTTTTTTAATTTTTTTAAAGGGAGAGCAAACAACATATCTCCTTGAAATTTTTGGTGTATTTTGTTGACTGAGGGAGGTATATTCTAAGGAATGTAAACAAAATTGTAGATTGGTTTTTTCTGAAAAAAATTAAAACTATCGCAATTGTAGGTACGCATTTTACGACTACAGATATTCGTAAGCGTGATACAATCGTCATATGTGTGATACAATCTTCATATGCGTGATACAATAGTCATTATTTATAGGCTTCAAAGATTGTGCACTTTTTTGGCGCATTACTGTCGATATTTTATTAAATGTGGCCTCTTTATATATGTATAAAATCCGATTTCAAAAGTCAAAAACCGCACAAAAATCTTGCTAAGCACATCAAAACTGTCTAGAACACATTTCAAAACGCACAATTATACAACCCATTTGATGATGAAGTTGGTGAACTTTGATTTCTGACAAAACCATTACATAGTAACTGGAAGTACAATGATATGTCATTTTTCGCCATCAATTCTTGGTACATGAGCACACATCGGTGTACGGGCCTGCCAAGAATTTCGTATTATTCTTGAAACTGAACAAAATTTTATGGAAAATTTGAAGAAAAATATTTATATGTTTACCAGGAAATTCGTGTTTTATCACAGGATATTTGGCAACGCCTGGAGGTTCATACGACGTTTTTCCTTAGCAAGGCGGTATAAGAGTGCGTGATACGGCATGCGTTCGAGAGAGTACTAAGAAATGTTAGGTGTGCTCATCGCTCAGCGGTATCGGCCGTATATCCCTTGTGCGCAAGAGACTTATTACCTCACTATGCGGCTTAATTTTTTGCTTCTTTTTTTGGTCGCAAATGCGACTTAAATTTTCCGATAAACGGTGCGGCCGGCTTTTAAAAAGGACGGAGCTCCGATGATTCCTCATTTCAGCGCGGGTCGGGCCCCGGGCAAAGGGCGATCTGGCGCCGATTTTCGTTTGTATCTCATGTGAGGGCGTGAAAAGTTGTATTTGTGACATGGAGCTTTTGACAGGGTTGACGAAACGCTTTCTCATCACCGTGGGACTTCTTGCGGCAATCGCAGTGGGGCCGCCCGGGTGTGAAGGATATGGCATTCCAGACTTGGACGACCCCAAGTGGTGGCAAAACATGGTGGTGTATCAGATCTACCCGCAGTCTTTCTATGATTCTGATGGAGACGGAGTCGGTGACCTAAAAGGTAAGGTATTTAAACATCAGTGGCGTGGCGTGAACTGCGATGTATCGATTTTTCTGTCATTTAAACCTATGGAACAGAATCGATTATTAAGGTGTTCGCTACGAACACCCTGTTTATCGATCCTTTTCTATAGGTTTAAATTGCATAAAAATCGATATATCGCAAAGCACGCCACGCCACTGTTAAGTATGCTTGGAGAGGCATCAAATATAAATAAAAAATTAAAATAAAGTTAATGAAAAGAATTGAATTTCTGACAATTATGCTGCGAATTTTTTGTAATCCTGTAGTTCGCTGGGCTTTTTGGTTTTTTTGTGTTTGTATCTTTGTAGTCGGTGTGTTTTGATTGCTGCAGATAATTGTAGTAATTAACTTTGTGTGTACATACTTAATTCCGACGAGTTCTCTCTGATGATGGCGCAAGCCAAAATGCCTCAGGGATGAAATAAATAATATAAAATTCGCAGCATAATGGTCAGAAATTCAATTCTTTTCTTTACTTTTAGTTTTATTTTTTAAGGTAAGGGGCCATTAGATACACAACGCTAAAAATCGGATTCTTAGTTGTCTACACCATATCACAAAGAGAGCCTGTGTGGATCAATGTGATATGTATTGTTTACCTGTCGCTAAACTGAAAAAGATATTGAAAAAAAAAAGAAAAAAAAACCTTAGGTTTTTCACGTTTCGATGTGTGAGCAGAAAACAATTGTTGCGACAAGGAAACGACGTATAACAAAGTAACAGAGAATCCCCTAGTCACGACAAGATTCTACTTGGCTCAATGAGCCGTTTCGTTCGTGCTGCGAGTATTTTTCTCAGCTCAAGGAAAATACACGGAAGCAGTTTCCCACACTGAGAAAAAGCTGTGGCTTATAAACCAATTAGTGGTTACTAATATATGGAACACCATTAATAGTTGTATATGAACTAATGATTATCGGTCTATGAGCCATACTGTGGTAGCTCGTACCATAGTAGGATATTATATACCATAACCAAGGTATATATGAACTACTAATTGGTTGATAAGCCATAGATTTTGCTCCGTGCACGTTGTAATGAATCCGAGGATTGACTGTGAAAACTATAAACGGATAAAAGTAATTGCAATCAGTGTTCCCAGTCACGAGGAAATTCTCGTGCCGTACGAGAATCACTTATGTCCGTACGAACTTCAATTACATGGGGAAAAGGTTTCCCCATTCTAAGCAGGGGCGGTCCGGCCACAGGTGCTAGGATGATCTCATTCATTAACTCTTCTTTTAAATTACTTATTAGGAACATAAACAACACTCTATAAAAGTCGGTTACTTTCTTATTCGCAGGAATCAAAGAAAAAGTCAACTATCTTTGTGAGCTGGGAGTGACCGCAATTTGGATAAACCCATTCTACGAATCCCCGCTGAAAGACAACGGTTATGACATCTCCAATTTCAAGAAAATCCACCACAAGTTTGGTAACATGTGTGACTTTAAGGCACTCATGTCAAAACTTGATAATAATCCCTGTGGTGATAACAAAGGTATTGTTAGTTTTTTCTTATGGATCTGTTTAAATTTATCTTGCTTTGATACGCTTTTTTGATAAATCATGGCTTGATCATCAGCCTAAAATTCATGCCTCCTGCTCCCAAGTAGCAGTGATCGCAATAAATAGCGATTTTATCGGTGACAATATATCGGAATATTATCGCATTAAAACTTGCGATTTATAAGGAATAAATCGCTACAAGTCGCAATTTTTGGTTCGATAAAATTGCGATCAATTTTCGTCGATAAAATCGAGATTAAATCGCCATATATCGCGATTTCTATTTTAAAAATATCGGTATGAATTGTCGAGCGATAAAATCGCGATTTTGTCTCGATAAGATCAAGGATAATCTCTCAGATGTTGATGATTCTAGCGATTTTATCGCCGATAAAATTCAAATATATCCCGATTATTCCGTTGAAAAATGCTTTTTACGGAACGAGTCAGGGTCATAACTGGCTCGCATCTGAGGGCGTAGACCCTTGGTGATAATGCAATGTGATACTTCCTGGTAGGGCATCCCCTACGTGGAGAGGGGCCCAGAAAAGTTTGGCAAAGCAGCACAAAGTTTACGGTATTTTCAGGTTCAAAGTTTACTAAACGTACAGAGTAAAAATTGCAAAATTGAAAGTATTGAAGTAACCGACCGACTTCTGAAATTAAAGAAAACATTAATAATTAAAGCCACTAGACGCATCCAAGCGCCATTATTTCCAAAAGAACCGAGACAGTGCTGCGGTTTAGACGAGCTTAAGGCGAGGGTCTACAAATCCATGATAAAAAAGAACCAGACAAGAACCTGAAAAAAAAGAGAGAACGAGTATCAACACAGCCGAAGATAGGAAAGACGTACTCGGGTCTCTTCTTCAACTTTTCTACCAAATCTGAGCGACACCTCATTGACAGCAACCAGAGCAGTGAGAGCTCACGCTTCGCATCATCGCGCCTTCAATTTTTCAGGTGCAGCACGGACGTCCATGAAGTACGAATAGCTGTATCTCTGCGCCGTCGTTAAGAATCATCCTTTCCCTCGCTTCATTTCCATATTGTGTTTGCTTGCGCTTGTCTTATTCGTAATGGTGCTTCAAACTAGTAGCATAGAGCAGAACATTACGAGTTTAAGACTCACACCATCGCTTCTTACATTTTTCATATGCAATGTGGACATCCATCTTGCGCGAATAGTTATATCGCGTTTACACTTTAGATGTCTCTTATTTTTGAATTTCGAGATAAATTAAGGTTAAGTTTGCCCGAGACATGCTACGGTATGTCCAAATCAATAGTCATTTTGAAAAGGAAGAAATATTTTTAAAGGTCTTTCAAGAGGTCTATAAAGGGTGCGTACGTCTAAAATTCGAACTGACCATCGCTTCTGAGGGAGTTACATGTAGCGAATGAAGGAGAAGTATGATAAAGCGCCTGTATGTCAAAAAAAAAGGTGAAAGTTTCACAGAAAAGTGTTTACGCTTCAGAAAGTAGTATTGGACCTCTGTTCGTCACTATCATGTGTAAAAGCACCTTTCTTTACTCCCAGCTCTCTCTTCTTCCGTTCATTAAAGAAATTTTTCGCAGATATTCTCGATCGTAATTTTTCTTCTCATCTTATTTTGCTGTGTTTCCGAAAGGCGCGTTTTCGGCGCGCCAAGGGGGCGTATCTGCCAATGGCAGATTGGCCTTATGGCCAGTCCGAGCCTAGAGCGAGTTGATTCAGATCATGAGGGAAAGAAGTTGGAAGTTTTATTCCTCACTGAGACATATCGACGGAGAAACTACCAGGTATCTCGTTTGCGGTGTTTAAAAATCTCTGCTCTCATTTTATTTTTTTGAAGAAGGACAAATCAATCTAGTTTCTTGAAATTTTCACAGTGTTTTCTTCGCACAGAGAAGAATAAAAACAAGGAAGTTCAGAACAGTGGATCGAGCTTTTGGAGGAAGTTAAACATGAAATTTTTGACAAAAATTGTAAAATTTTACGTTTATCTCGTCACAATTTTAATTTTAAGGGGTCCCTTTTATAGAACATTTTACGAAAAACCAATGAAACTACCTTTGAAACATTTCATATTAATGAAGATATATATACGCTTTTAAAGTTTTTAAATCGTGTCCGACCTCTCCCACTGATTCGATCCACTGTGCGCCGTGTGATTATAAAAAAAAGATTCAATTATTTTATAAATTAAAACTTCTATCATTCGCCCTTGCTTTTTTATTAATTTAATCTTGAAGCTTTAAAAAAGCCGAATGTAAATTCTATTAATTTGTGCCATACTTTGTGCCTCATGCAGAGATCAGAGTGATCATGGATTTCGTACCCAACCACACGAGCGACGAACATGAATGGTTTCAGAAGTCAGTCGATAGGGTGCCTCCATACAATGATTACTATGTATGGATGGATCCTAAAGGATGGGACAAAAATGGAAGACCAATCCCTCCCAACAACTGGGTGAGCATAAGTTCTAAAAACATGTAGTTCTAAAAGCTAAAGTTTTCGAACTGTACAAATTGAATGTACAACTGTTCAATTTTGGCCCTGCCAAAAGTCTTTGAATATATTTTGAACTCACTTTAAAGTGCTAAATATTTTTGGTTAATGATATTTATGATGATATTTATTGGGTGATTTTTATGAATCTGTCATCGGCACTCTCTATGAAAGAAAATGGTAATCACCATATCATTTAAATAATGATGAAATAAAAAAATAATATTATTTTAATAGTTTTAATAATACTTATTTATATGCAATGATAAAATATTAGTGATAAAACGGTAAAAAATCTAAAACCCTTTAATTAAATTAAAGGCGCACTGCCAGAATCACCTTTCAGTTTTCTTCATTTTCCAATTGCGGAAACCCTCATAAAATAATATAATATTAAAAAATTATTCCATTTTTCATCATATTGACTTTTAACTTTTTATTAGAGGTGAAAAAAGCTTGTGCCTTGCATGGTACATCGATACAATTTTCCAGATTTTTTTTTATTTTATTTAATTTTATCTGTTTTTCATCATTTTTAATGGAAATAAGTAAGAAGAAAATCCCTCTCTCTTTCCTGTTACTTCCATAATTTATGTCTCTTTCTTTCACTGATGAGATCCCATATTTACTGTTCTTTATCCTGTTACTCTCAAAATGTACGTACCCGTTCCCTGATACCTCAAAATTTAAAGTTAAAATCTACACGCAAGTGTCTGTTTATTTTATAAACGAAGAAAATGAGGAAAATGTGTCTGTTTATTTTAGTATATTTTGTAATTAATTATTTCATCCTTTCCTACTTTTATTTGTCAGGCATCAGTCTTCACCTACGGAGAAGAGGCGTCTGGATGGGAGTGGAATGAGAAACGACAGCAGTTTTACTTTCACGCTTTCATGAGGGAACAGCCGGACCTTAATCTTCGTTTCTCTGAAGTCAGAGATGAATTGAAGGTTCGTTGTAAGTTTACCTCTGACTTTCGCAGAGACTGCCGTTAGAATGCAAGGGACGAAACATTTAAAAAAACATAATGAGGAAGATGGAAGATAGATGATCTGAAACCAACTGAGTGATTTTAATTGCATTGCGCGGTTTATTTAACACTCGCCAAAAAATTCAGTCAGATTCAGAGTTATAAAAATCCTTAAAAAATTATATTTTAATTTAATTTGGCAAAAGTTCGTATTGTTTTCAACCAGACAAAAAAAATTGTAGATAATCGTGACCGAGGAAATTTGACTTGGAAGTAAAAAAATATAAATATAAAAAAATAATAAGTATAAATTATACAAAAAAATCGTGCAAAAGCGAAGAGAGAGGAAGAAATTGTGACGGGACCAAGCAAAATATTTTCAGGAGAATACTAAAATTTTCAGTACACAGGAAAAACCAGTTCACGGTCAAAAATAGTAATTCTTAGTTTTCAATGCTGAACATTTTCGAAATATACCGAAGAGCACTCGTTTTCCAATTCATGTTTTGAAACACCTGTCTGCAGAGGGGAACCGCACCTCTTTTTGTTACAATAAACCAGAAATGAAAGTTCCTTACTTCAAAATATATCTACTTATAATTTCGACGAAGAAATAAGTATTGGGGTTCTTGATTTCTTACTCCATCTAGTCTCTAGTAATTTATTGTTAGCCATACTATGAGTTCTAGAACACCGAGACATTAAGCTCTAAGACTGTGGATCTATTACTAGCAATTCTCTTGTTCCGAGGATACTCGGCTGCAGGATATTTTTTTGCGAAACCTTGATACAAAAACGCAACTTTGGTAAGTACTGTGCAAAACGCACATTACACATTGTGTATTGCATTACTGCATATCGACGGTGAAACTACCAAACCACGTATCTCGGTTTGCGACGTCGCAGACTTCCTGTCATACTTTATTTTTTAAATGAAAAACTACTTAACATTCTGTCTTGAAAATTTCTGTGATTTTTCCTCCTTGTGCGGAGAAAATTCCGTGAAAATTTCAAGGAATGATATTGACTTGGTCTACTTCAAAAAAATAAAATGTGAGCGTAGATTTTTAAACACCGCAAACGAGATACGTGGTTTGGTAGTTTCACCGTCGATATAGTACTTTGCATGTATACACGGTAGTCACTTGTACTTCGTAGAACTTTGCAGCATTCTTGACTTTCACGGAAAACTTTGATCTCCGCCATCTCTGAATGCCGGGCAAAGTTAGAAATCATAATTTTTGATCTCCGTAAGTTGGCGATGAGTTTTATTTGGTTGCAGGATATCTTGAAGTTTTGGATGGATATGGGAGTAGATGGGTTTCGAATGGACGCCGTGCCGCACCTTATTGAGGACCCACAATTCCGAGACGAGAGCCCCTGGTGGGATCACAGATACACGCAGAACCTACCGCAAACCTACGAGGTCATCAAGGAACTCCGAAATTTCTTCGAAGAATACGACAAAATAAACAATCGAGTCACGTGAGTACTTATTTTCACAGTAAAATGCAGGACAATATGCTGGACTATAATGCTGGTATGAATTATGCACACACATACGTACACTGGAAATAAACACATTGGATCTAGAGTCCAGACTCTTGAAAACATTGACAAGAAAAAATACTCTTGATTCAATCGGATTTTTGCTTGAATCAAAAAGAAATCCGCTTAAATTAAGAGGCTTGGTTCTTGATTTAAGCTAGACTCTGATTGAATCAAGGGTACTTTTTCTTGTCAATGTTTTTAAGAGTCTGGACTCCAGATCCAATGTGTTTTTTTCCCAGTGTAAGAGCCTCTTTCACAGCGATCTCTCGCGCTCCGCGACACCTAACCGCCACAGTACATCCTCCCACAGTCCTTCAGGAGTTGCCACTCACTCATCTCATTCAAAATTCCTTGCCTTATTGGTGCCACCCTTTCATTGAGCATCCCTCTCATCTCCTCCTAGGAAGAACCTATTCAAGCATACATTTTAACAACCTTTCTACCTTTATTCAGTTGACATGTTTATACCAAACAAGCTATTCGACCATGACGTCAAATACGATGTCAATTTCGACCTCCGAGATCTGACACCTCATGTTTTTTGACCACTAATAAATACGCGGGCATGATTTGTATGCTATCTTGATTCCCCCTCCCCTTTTCTCTAAAAGATTAACGCATATCTTTTCTTCCGATACCAATTTATATTATTTATTTATTTATTTATTTGGCAGGTACATGACTGTGGAAGCATATGCATCGCCGGATGATACCAGACGGTACTACGGCACTCTAGATGCACCTGGTGCTCACTACCCATTCAACTTTCTTCTCCTCACTGATTTCAATTCGGACACGAATGCTGTCAGCCTCAAAAACTCCATTGACTTTTACTTAAATCAACTCAACGACTTCCAGCTTCCCAACTGGTTGGTAAGGGCTTTGTTGCTTCTCACTCTCATTCAATACAATGTTTGACACTTCACAGGAACAGGGTCCTTGCAATGCATTCATGCAATGACTAGAAAAAGGTGATATTTGCTATATTGGTGTGGCGAGTTTAATTGAAGTAGCCCAATTGGTACTACATAACGAGAGCGTTAGTGTTGTACCAATTGTCTTGTTGTGTAGCACTAACTATAGGGTTAGAAGGAGTAACCTCTACACAGTTAAAAATGTCCGTGTCAAATGTCACTCTGTGATACTTTGTGTCGCGTTTTTGTGTCAGGTCAGCCTAGAGGACTTGGTTGCTCAACACACTTTTGTGTTAAATCGACTCAAACGGTAGGCTACTTTGAGACATAGGACGCATAAAAGCCGTAGAAGCAATTTAATTTTTTACAAGAGATCGTTTGTGCGGATTCCTTTGAAAATTTAGGGGAATTTGCTTCGTACTATGCAGAAAATTTACTAAAATTTGCACCGAAATCCTCGTAACCGTTTTCATGTACAACATTAAATTGCCCGATTAAATTTGGCAATAGCTGATGTGGCTTGGTTCCTTTCTGCTTACGCGTTCCATTTATGTGTTCCAGTCAGGGAACCACGACTGGCCGCGAATCCCATCAAGGCTGGGTGCCTCCACCTCAGTCGATTTGATCAGCATATTGAACTTGCTGTTGCCCGGCTCAAGCTGCGTGTACATGGGAGACGAGATCGGCATGGACAGCTACTGGGCCATTGACAGGGACAAGTGTCCACCAGGGGCTGCCGATGACTATCGCACGCCCAGCAGAACACCCTTCCACTGGAACAAAACTCAAAACGCAGGTTTGTGCACGGCTTAAAATACTAATGCGACGGAGTCGGATAAAAGGAGGAAAAAGACGGAGCTAACAACATAAAAGCTTATGGGCCGTCCCTTAATTCCGTAACGCGGGTATAGAGCAAAGCGTTAAGTCACAAGTTCAGGTGCTTTTTTTTCGAGTTTCGGTAGAATTTTTCGTCGTACGTCTTCAGAAGTTTTAAAGAATCTCGAAAATAATCTCTGCAATACTTTCTCCTTTCTTCACTTAATACAAATGTCAATCCACTCAGTAAATGTAAGGTGATATTTAGGTTATTTACTTTTTTTTTCTTTTTCTTTTTTTTTTTTATCAAAATGGAGAAGGGGGTATTTGGGCAAGCATTGCGTAACTTTAAGGGGGTCTAGTGCAGCGTTACGGAACGTTATAGAGGGGAAGGGGTCAAAAATCGCAAATTTAGCGTTACGTAATTTAAGGACGACCCTTTAAAGAAATATTTCGACAACATTTGGCGCAGGAAAAGCCTGAAAACTAAATGAGTCCTCTAAAAACGTCCTCTAGCAGAGCAGCACAAAATGAAAAATGTGCAAAAAAAAAGAAGAAGAGGAGCCAACAAAGAAATAAACATCATTCTTGTCACCATTTTCTCATCATTGTTAACTGAGTAGTTCAGATGGATTGCGTTCTTTAAAAAGGAACCAAGAGCATTCCAATGTCGCTAAGAATGCGCATGCAACTTTCTTCGTCTTGCAAATATAAACAGATTACATGAACAAATTTTATCCTTACTTCCAATTAACTATAACTTCAAGACGAAAATTACCTGTGTAAATTTAATTTTTTGCATGCTTTCAGTTATTTTATTAAAAGAATGTAAGTTACACAATCTTATAGCAACATTGGAATGCTCTTGGTTTCTTTTTGCAAAATGCAATCCAAATGTCTCTACAAATAATTTGCTATATAATATTCATTATTTCTTTTTGATGGTCTATTGAATATAATTAAGGTTTTCGAGTGACTTTCTGTTGAGGGCAGGTTTTACGACGAACGAAGACCCGTGGATTCCTGTAAACCCCGAGTATTACAGGCTGAATGTGGAGTCAGAACGCTACCCATCATGCTGGTACTGCTCCACCCACTTGACCAATTTCAAGCAGCTGGTCCAGCTCAAAAAGGAATATGCGTTTATGTATGGGCCTTTATCTACCTACACGCTCACTGATGATGTCTTCTGCTTTACCAGGTATGAGCCAGTGGCCAAAAGTCCTTTTTTCCGACATATCAGATTGAGATTTTGCTATCATTTTTCAAGATTTTAAAATAGGCATCCTGGATCACTCTTCAAAATTGATCCAAAGTCTCAAAATGCCTGAATAGTCAAGAGATAGCTTAGTTCATACAACAAATTTTTGAGCTGATCCAAAGCTGAAAGTAAATGGATCAAAATAAACAGAAACGGGCCAAGTCACATTGAAAATAAACAGGGCAAGAGGTTTGAAGTTTGATCCCTCTATAGTTTTCAATTTTCAGTTGTAAGATTGCATGTTAGAGATATTTCAAGCCTTACTTTTTTCTCAAAAATATTTTTTCTTGACTTTGAATTTTTGAATGGAAGACATACTCGGCTAAAGAAACTCAATGTTATGCCAAATATATTTTGTTTTCCAGAATATGACCTCACTTTTAAACTCAGTGGACACTCACTGTAAGGCTTAAGATTGACTCGTTTAAAACAAACAGTCTTGTAATTGCCAAGATCTGAGGAGAACAAACTGTCTAACGGTAGCCCGCAATCGTGTCAATTTAAATCGAGGCTATTCCAGTAAACGAAGCATTTTGATGGCCGAAACAGAAAATGGCCACCTTATGATGCTAAAAATTCTGTACACGTCTTTATATTCCTTATAAAAAACATCCACAAACCCCGAGCCTTAATCCAAATTGAAGGAGCCCTACTCTTCATCTAGAAGTTATGGTTGATCTTTTTTCTGTCTTGTTTCTACATTTTAGGGAAGATTCAGAAACGATGTATGTGATAGTCATGAACGTGGGTACAAATTGGAGCGAAACTTTTGACATCACGGACGAGATTCCAGACTTGGCGTATGCTACCAGTAACAGTGTTGAGGTTTGGACCCCCAATCTGAACGAATGCAGAAGAAGCCCGTATGTATTAATCGAAACTAAATATTCTCCAATTATTTCCACCCTAGTTGATGTTTTCACCAAAGTACCGAAGTATAGTAAAATTGTCAGTCGAGTGCCCAAAAAATATTGAATTAGGCACAAAATCCCGTTCATTTGCTTCGAAGCCTCATCCAATTAATTTTCATGTTTTCCAAAAATTCTATTTAGTTTTCATGCACTTACAAGAGAAAACTTATTAAAAAAATGAATGTTGATCCGAGAGAAGAGACCAACCTATAATGATATAACTAAGCAACCGGGACATATCTCAATTGAGAAGTCTTACACGATTTGAGTGCAATAGTCTGAGTAGACAAAGCGATGATGAAATGACCAAATGCTGGATTCTGATTGCGGTGGGTGCATTTCTACTCATATTTCAGTCAGTCAAGACAAGTTATGCGTCAAAAGAACGAAGGAAAATCCAACGGATTTTGGGGCAAAAAACATGATCAGGTCCTGTTAAGGATAATATTATAAGGCAGAGAGATTTATATCGTCGCAAACTGAGATCGATCGAATTCTTAGATAGAGAGAGCAAATGTGCACTGGAAAAGAAACAAAAAAAAGATTGGATCTAGAGTTCAGACTCTTGAAAACATCGACAAGAAAAAATACTCTTGATTCAATCAGATTTAAGCTTAAATCAAGAACCAAGCCTCTCATTTTAGCGGATTTCCTTTTGATTTAAGCTTAAATCTGATTGAATCAAGAGTCCTTTTTCTTGTCAATGTTTTCAAGAGTCTGGAATCTAGATACAATGTGTTTTTTTTTCCAGTGTGCCATTGTAAGCTACTAGTTTTATCGCTGACATTCTGAATGCATTGTACACATATAAATGGTGTTTTTAACCTTCCTATTTTGAAGAATCCTCGCAATTATGCTGGGTATGATTTTTAATTTTCAGGAGGCTGTGTTTTTGTCGGATACGGTCAAACGGTTGGAGGATGCCCCCGAAGTCCGGAATCGTTCTCTCCTATACTAAAAATGACGCTGGAAAACACTTGCAAAAAGACCATGAGACCGAAATGCTGAGCAGCTGTGAATAGAACGGATGACTTCTAAGAGGCGAATATTAAGTCACCTATAAGCGTAGGAATCAACTTCGCGGAAAACCATGTCGATGATTAGTAGTTTATGTTGATTTATCAATTCTAATGATTGCCGCATGGTGATATATCAGTAAAATATAATAAATAATATAACTGATGAATTGTCTACAATTCATTGACCTTCAACCTCCGACAAATTTTCTCGCACACTTGAAAAGGACGTAAATTTAGCTTGCCGATAGCGGTTGCGAAAGGATTGCGCGAATGACCCCCTTTTTTTTACCTTTTTGGAGATGAATAGGATTGCGCAAACCCTTCTAGTATGTACTGGAGACTCACATTTTCGCGCGAATATTCAATATTTAACAGGGAGGCGTTAATCTGGCAACCGCATGGTAGTTTGTGGTAGATAACTACATCGTGGAAGGCTGCTCATTCCCTCCTTACTTACGGGCATGTCTCTCTTCGGTGGATAGCCCTTGCGGCACGAATGGCCCAGAGAGCTTTCATAGACATTTAAAAAGAGAACTAGGGACCTGTGGTCGCTACGCGGCCGTCCACCATTGAAATAGACCACACGTAGAAAATCGTAGAAAAACCATGTTCAAGCTTTTTACGAGATAAATGGATTCAAAACCCGACGGGTGCACCAGAAAGAAATCCCTATATATTTATCCCTGATTGCAAAGTTATACACCATTTTATGTTCAATTTTTATTGAATGTTTTCTAAAAGCTACACACAGTTTTCTGAAAAGTTTTCGCTAATTTACCTAAATGATCGCAAATAAAAATTTCGAAAATTTCGATACGAGATTTTTGTTCGGTCTTTTTTCTTTTAGTAGAAAAAAGAATAAATAAATATCATCCGAGTTTCTGAATCGTTACAATGAGGATACATATTTTCCCTTTAATTATGGTAAAAACTGAAGCAGAATGTCAAGAATGATGACACGTAGTCCTACAGTATTTTTACAGCCTTTTTAGGCGGACGGTAATACTCGTATGCGTTTTACACTAACTGACCGACTGCACTGCGTTTGGCGCAATTCGAGAAGTATTCATGCAGTCTTGTAGGCGCTAATATAGGCTGAGTGCCGGCCGCACTGTTTGGCGCAATGCGTGAAGTATTCGTAAAGTCTTGCAGGCGTTATTATGCGTTTTACGCCGACCACACCGTGTTTTACGCAATTATTTGTACTCGCGTTACAATAATCGCGGCATTGAATATTAGAGCTGAAAGGCCTACGTAGCGTTTCGGCGCCGTATGAGCATTCCGACGTTGCCTCGTTTCTCCCAATTTAATATTTTTTCCGAGAAAAGTTAGGAAAATTCCTTTCATCCTACGACCATTATTCAATCTTTTCACTGCATTTATCATCAGAAGGTAAGTCATCGACGACTTGTCGAAAATCTAACCTAAACTAGCGGTAACATAAAAATGCGTTTATTTTTCAACTGTCTCCTGTTTTGCCAAACTTCTACCTTAAATTAACTTCAATTTAAATTCGCGCTTTCCTGTAACATACTTCAAGGTTTCTATTCACGCAATCCTTGTGCCTTTTTCGTGGAATCCTCACATATTTTCTATGACCTTTTGCGCAATCCTGGATTACCGGCCGATAGCCGTAGTCTGACACAGTTATCATAAGGCCCTGTCCACACGAGCGTGATTCGAGGACCTTATTCGACGAACTGCTCAGTTCCCGGAACTTGTTCCTTTAAACGAGGCATGCTGTCCACACGAGTTCGCCCGAACTGAACCGGAACTTTAATAAAACTATACAATTATTGCAAATTAATAGATTATTACGGCCGCTGAAGTAACAAAAATAAATGTTAAGACATGTAAAGGACGTAAAAAACAAAAACAAACAAATTCACATCAAAAGAAACATATGTAGAAGCTCGGAGTACGGGGGAAGTTCCGGGTTTTGGAGGAATAAGTTTTAGCTCAGCTAAAACTTGTTCCGGGAACGAGTTCCTCGAACTAAGTTCCGCGAACCGCGCTCATGTGGACAAGACCTATCTAGAATGTCATTTAGGGGTCGATTCGAATCGTTTTCGAAATGTATGTGTTGATTGCTTTTCATCCCTCTTTCTTGAGTTTATTGTGTTCAATAAATAATAGTTTTAAGGTCTTAATTTTGATTTTTTTTTAAAGTTCCAAGAATATACAGCAATTTTGAGGGTATGTATCCAGCACAGATATTTACTGTTGCAATTTTTATGACCCTACGTGGTGCCTGATACTGTAGATATTTACACTGTTTAGTCTTTTAGATGAGAAATCTTAAGAAAAAAGTGAGGAAAACTCATGTTTGAAAAGGAAAAACGACATACACGCATATCTTCATCGGCTTCAGAGCTATACAAAGAATTACTAAAAGGGAAAAATTGAATTAAGGTTATACTTATTTATAAAATGTTTTGACAAAATTAATTGAAGCCAGAATTTCTCTCTTACAAAAGCTCTCGTTGTATTGCAATAATGAGGGTTTTTATGGTTCGCCTGCCACACCGCAGGATTCTGGAACTAGTATTCAGAGTAAAAATAAAATGAATAAGACCATTTTTCGCTTTATTTACACAATGAAGATTCCATGCAACTATTCCGTGTAATAAAATCTGCTTCTTATTATTTTAATTTTTATTTTTATATTTGCTGCATCTCCAAGCATGTTTAAATATTTTCAGCCTCGTCAGGCAAAAGTTCCATGGAATCTTCATAGTGTAAATGAAGCACAAAAAAAAAAAAAAAAAAAAAAAAAAAAAAAAAAAATGGCAGCAAAATGGTTGCAAGAGATCTTCTTTCTATTATTTTATTTTATACTTGCTGCTTCTCCAAGCATGTTTAAATAATATTAAGAGAATTATATTTTTATATATTTAGTATATATTTTTAGTAATATTTTTAGTAAGCACCGGGATCAATTTGACACCTGTTTGACCGACTAGGGTGGACTAAAATTAGCATTACTCCATTATACGTTGCCTAATCTTCTGTTCTATGTATTTGCTCTACCTTTTTTTCTTAAAAAAAGCCGAGCACCATATTGCCTTGAAATTATTTTGCAAATTTTCCCGTGAATATGTAAAAATATACTCACAAAATTTTGAGGCTGAGTGTTGCTTGGTTTTCTGGAAGGAAAATCAAACACGAGGGGAAATCGAGTAACATTATTGATGTGATTCTGGATGATGCGTCCAATGCGATGCTGAAGCACACAACTCAATGAATCAGCGTCAATCCATATCGTCATCAGTTTTGTGCATGATTAACTTTTTGCATCTTCTAATTTTGAAGGCGCTTCATTTGCAACTTATTTACATCACCTACGGCGAGTGCAAATATGTAATCGTTTGAACTGCTATATTCATGCCCCTGGTGACAAATTGCTTTCGTACTGCTGAATAACTCTTACCTCTGAACTCATACCACTCATACCACTGAGTTCGTGTTACACTTCAAGTTAGTTCCTTGATGTAACTTTTTCTGTTGAATTGTTGAAAATGCAACTCGGCAATGATGTTACTAAACTTCTCCAGCTACACTTGAACTTTTGTCGAAAGAGAGGAAGATTCGGTGAGCACCAGTGGCGTGGCGTGCATTGCGATAAATCGATTGATCTATCATTCAAACCAGTGGCGTGCTTTGTGATATATCGATTGTTATGCCATTTGAACCTATGAAAAAGGATCGATAAACAGGGTGTTCGCAGCGAACACCTTAATAATCGATTCTTTACCATAAGTTTCAATGGCAGAACAATCGATACATCGCAATCCACGCCACGCCACTGATTCAAACCTGCGGAAAAGGATCGATAAACATGAAGTTCGCAACGAGCACTTCAGTTATCGATTCTTTCAAATGGCTCGAGGTTCAAATGAAGAAATATTGATAATCTATCACTCACGCCTCGCCACTGGTGAGCACATGCGGCATCAAACATGTGTTATGTTCAATACGCACAGGTGTGTTACGGCGCTGAACATCCGCACAACACACGGATCATTACGCATAGCTCTGCTACGTTGTTCTAGGTCAGGTCAAAATCAAGATATCATCCTAACTTTTTGGCAACAATTGGGGATAGAGACATACAATAAAGATCCTCCATTGATAAAGTGACAGTAAAGGAATAAGCTCTTACTTTCGAGAGAATCTATGTAATATTCAATTGTTTACCTTCATTGAAAATAAAGAACTGCTGTTTCCAGCTCATCCATAAAAGCACGTATTTGCATAGGGAAACATAATAAAAGCAGTAACATTATTCGATGGTGGCAAGGGGGGCAAATGTCCCCTCCCTGCGTTTCAAAAGGCATAGAAAAACGAAAACAAATTGATCAAATTACTGAAAACTTGGTTTGTTTCTATACTTATGTATCACGTTAGGGGTAACATGAGGTCACCCTCCTCCTCTGCAGGTTTCGGTGGAATGACGTTACGGAGTACATGTTTGTTCGAAAATGACAAAAAACAGTAGTTCCTTATTTCAAACTATAGTCTATTGGTGACAGTTTGTGCGTTGATTTGGAAAGATTTCAGCCAGACAGACAGCCTAACTGAATTTTACGGTGCCAGACATGGTAATTTTTTACAGGAAACGAAGGAGCAAAACGCTTGAAAACTCTCTGAGGATTCTATCAATGGCGTAAGGAATATATCCTTTTCAAGACAGAATATTCGCCGATTTTTTTTTTTTTTTTTTTTTTTTTTTTTTTTTTTCACGAGAATAACAGATAGATAGAAATAATATAACGCGTGGCATAGTTAGTCTGATTCTGCTTAGTGCTGTCCGTTTGATGATTTACACGTCCAGTAATGATTGATGACTGGGTTGATCCATATTCGCGAGGTCACGTAAATTGTCGACTTAAAGGCGATGCTAGACTTTCAAACCTTTAGTTGCCGACTAAATCAACACTTATTAACAGGAACCAAACACAGAGCACACCAGAACGGCCACTTTTCGCCGTTAAACCTTTTCTTTGATCACGATCCGGTGTTTCGTCCTGCGAAAACAGTTAGAGCTCAACATTTAAGAACTCAAATGTCGCATGAACACAGGTTTGCGTTGCGTCAAACTTTAATTTCTGAGAGAGTAAGTTCATGTCTTTTTGGAAAAATCTGATACTAGCTAAGCTAGAACTGCGAAAAAAGTCCTCGGGAACGCGGAACGTTTGATAAAAAGCATGCGTACAGAATATTCAGGAGTGGATTTAGTTCATATTGTCAGCGTGATTGGCTGTGCCTCTTCCGCTCACCAAAGTCATTACTTTTCGCTATGATGGGGCTTGATTTTCAGAATTGTTTTTTGTCGCAAGCACGATTCAAATTTTTCTGCGAACCCGCGCGGTGGCCTTTTATAAAATGCGGAGCTGCGATGAGTCTCATTCAATCACATGTCGGGCCACGGGCGCGGGATCTGGCGCAGATCCGTTCGTAGCTTTTGCGCGGACGCGGAAAGTTATGTTGGTGATATGAAGCTTTTGACAGGGATCACGAAAAGTTCTCTCATCACCGTGGGACTTCTTGCGGTCATCGCAGTGGGACTTCCCGGGTGCGATGGATATGGCATCCGCGACAAGGAAGGCCCCAAGTGGTGGCAAAACATGGTCATGTACCAGATCTACCCGCAGTCCTTCTACGACACTGATGGAGACGGATTTGGGGACCTGGAAGGTAAGGAGTCGCTTATAAAATACGTCACGGTAAAACTTCTAAGTTTTGACCCCCGCACTACCCCCATGGCGCGATTCTACACTATCC